TCATTCCAAAAAATGAACAGTTGGGGTAAAAACGGCGCGTAAAGGCATTTTCCCAAGATGCAAATATCCTAAAATCATTGAAAAAAAAAGACCCACATTCATATTCACCCAAGAGTCAGCGGCCCCTCCCCCTCCACAAACTGTACACAAACTCAGACATACAGACACTGAAGGCTGCCAAATGTCAACCGAGATCTGGGGCAATTTCCTCGCAGGCACGGCGCAGACGCCCTTACGCAGCCAGATGCGTCCCCGCATCCAGCCGAGCATGCGGTTGCCACGGTGACCTCCTCATTGCCGCCAATGAAAACGCTACAGAAGGGGGGCTGTCTGGGAGGCATTTAGTGGAATGTCATGTAGTATTACCTCGAACGGAGTGCCGAGTCCTATGTGTGTGTGTGTGTGTGTGTGTGTAGTGTGTAGTGTTGGACATTTAAAGGGTTTGAATAAGGGCCTTAGAGGTTGTCTGGATGCTTTGAAGTGGTAATAAAACACACACAAAGGGATCTGTGTTGTTTAATGTTCGTTTAGCGAGTGTCTTTTTATCCGAGCTTGATTTAGGTTTATTAGCCATTAACAGACGGCTGCCGCCCAGGGGCTTTATCGCACTGCTGATTACACAGGATCATTGAATCACGAGTGGACGCATCAAGTGTTATTGGGTGCTACTCTAATGGACACATGGGGCCCTAACTACATTTATTATGTCTCCTCTCTCGACGGTCGTTCTTGGTGGTTTCCTGCTCGGAGGCATTCAAATCATCTTAATTAAAGGTGGGGGAAATAATAACATTAAAACGCACTCAAATGTGGAGTATTTTCTAACATGTGTCAGGTTTTACTGGCTTCTTGCACATGAAGACGTTGCTCCAATCTGATGAAACCTCTTTCAATGCACTTGATAGATTAAGAGATTGTAACATTTTTTATTCAAAAGTTCTGCTCTCTGCTGTAAATCAAGCCGATTAACACTAAATTAGGTTCTATCATATCTATGTGTGTTTGGATTTGAAAGGCTAACTCTGTAAGTTTTCTATTAAATAAACTGATTTGTCGTTCCATGATTCACTGCCTTCATTTGCTGCCAGTCTGTCGGCTGTAAATCCTTGTGTGTTTAATTGAAGAGGGTTGGCTGGTCTCTCGATGTGTGTCCCTCGGTAACAATGAGGGAGGGACACCAGTGACACCGGGATGTGGAGGAAGAACATGCAGGGATTAAAAAGGAGTAAACGTAGTGAGGAAGCAGGAGAAAGGAAGGGACAAAGGTAAATAAAGGAAAGGAGACAGAGGACCAGGGCCAGTCCGCTGCTCACAGTAAATCTCTCCCTGTGGCAGTGGGGAGAGCCGAGGGCCATGTCCAGATTTACGGCTGCCTGCTGGGGCAATGAGAGAATGGATTGGATCCTTTCGACCCCCCCATCCCCCTTTACAGCCTTGAACTCCCTGCAGCCAATGTGAGAGCAACCTCACTGTCGCTATACGATGATCCATACGCTGCATGATCTGCAGCAATATGCAAAGCGCTTGATCCAAGGGGGTTTAGTGTGGACACACTGTGTATATGTAGGTCAGGGGCTCCGGCTCGGTCCCCACAGGCCCGCTTCTGCCAACTGTATCAGATGATTGTCTGCTGCTATGGAGATGGAAGTGGAGCTGGCTCTGGTTTGGGGATTTTTGGAGAGAGAGAGAGAGAGAGACGGGCATACCTTTTTGGAGTATGTGCACGTGCAGAGAAGCACCATTGAGATGCAGGCAAAAGTAATTGGCGAGTTTAATGGCAGCAGAGATAACAAGTGGCTTCCTCTTTCCCTCTTCCTGTTGATACCATGCAGATGGTTTCTCTGCACAGCCGACTGAGAATGTAGATACCATTCACCAACAGCAGCGTTTGGTTACTCTGTTGGAAATGAATGAATTATGTTCCCTCAAAGTACTCGATCTACACCTGCATTGTATTTTAGCCACAATAACAACAACCACTGTCGATATTTTCTTTATTAGCTGTTTTGGTCCCCCCGAATGTTCTGACTGAAATATCTGCGTGTTGCCAAGAGCAGCAGCTGCTCTCAGCTATTAAAAAACCCAGTGAATGCTTAGAGCTGTGTGAACCCTTAGTGTGTAAAGTTGAAGGGTGGAAAGGGTGGAACAGCATTCAGTGGATTTAAATTCCTAATTAAAAACAAAGAAAACAGGAATGAACCACACGACTCTGTATAAGCAGTGGACACAGTCACTATGACATCATCCATTTGCGATTACAGTTTTGAGGCCTTGGATTCGGCGTTTTGGCGGTCGCCATCTGTTTTTTTTGGAACCAGAACTTAAACAAAGGGGGTTTAGCTTGGTACAACCGAAGGCTGGATAAAACATTATAAGGCAACCAAAATGTTTCAATTACAGTTCATGAATTTATAAACAAAATGGGACACAACGAAACGCCAAAGTACGGCAAAGTACTTCTACCACCACTGTATGGTGCAAATGCAAACGGCAGCCGCTCAGCCAATCACAACCATGAACAGCCGCTGTTTTGTTCTCCCATCTGGATTATAATCTGCTCGAGATGTCACAGCATTTTATGAAGCTTGAATCCCCACAAAGGCCTCTTGCAGGAGCAATGACGTAAGTGGCATAACGTTCTCAGAAACAGTGGTGGCAGTTTGTAGTTCCGGCTCGGCTTTCGATGGGTGGGAACCAAGCCCCCCGTTGACAGAAGCCCTCGGGGCAGCCATTGTTGGAGCGAACTTCAACCTGGTGTTTGTCTGCCCGTCCCGAAGGGAAATACCGATGTGGCATTTTGAAAGCGATCGTTGGTGATGACATTGATACAAGCAGGACGAGTATCATAGCACGAACATAACAAAGAGATCATAACGGCCCGCGAGTAAAACAAATTATGCGGTAAACTGATCTGCTTCGGCAGAGAACCATTTGGATCAGAGGTCGTTGGTTAAAGCCCAGCGGTCCTCTCTGAAGAGCCGACTATTGACCTTTAGCCGGGCAGTTAAGTTAACGCAAGGCCTCGACCCCCTCAGACCGCACTGTCACTATTAGCTACTGTCCCCCGAGAGACAAGGGAGATTTATGGTTCTGCTGGAGGAGGATGGAACGAGAATAGGAGGACAACAAGTCTTTAACAGTCACGTTCCAATGAAGAGCGAGAATGAGGGAAGCAGGTTTGTCTTTCTTTGAGTTGGTATCAATGTGCAGTTGCAGTGAGGCTCAGATTCTGAGATCACGGCAAAACAACTCCACACATTTCATCTTTTAAGCAGCAGATACATTTGTTTGTACATATGTTAATGAGGAAGTGTCCTTCGGGTCAAAAGGTCAGGTACCAAACCTTCACTACCCAACTGTCAGGAGTCAGAAAGAGTGCTGTGCTCCTCGGGGGGGTGGGGGAGGGGGGGGTCAGGAGGGTGGTGGGGATGGCCTCGTGTTCACAACACTTTGGCGGTCATTGACCTCCGGCAGGTTGCTCAATGAAAAGTAACCGTGGCTGGCTGCATGAGGTCTCTTTGAATAGGGGGAGTTTTACTTCTGCTGGCAAAGTGCCAAAGGATCATGTTGCTACTAAAAAAATGTGCTCTTCTGTTTTTATTAACCTATTCTCGCACACTGCCCGAGCCATTGGCCTGATATCTCCTGCGATCATTTAGGACTGAACGCTCAAAGAACTTTTTTAAATACTTTTTTTATTGGCAGTGGTCCGAAGTTATTGTCTGCTGACCCCTCACCAGAAAAGGAATTTCGGGCGGTGGGCTAAGCTGAAAACAAGCCTGAGCAGGTCTGCAGGCCACGTTTAGATCTCAGTAATTCATCTGGAATCTAAGGGAGCACGTTGGGACAATTGAGTGAGATTCTACTCTTCTCTTAGTTATTTTAGGGGTGAAGGAGACACAGCTAGTTGCGTTCTGCACTACACTTTTCTTGTTTGCGACGTGTGCGCTAACTATGGAGCTCGGGGCGATTAGCTTATCATAAAGATTACTGAGTCATACGCCAAATCCGACAGTTATACAAACTTCAAAGATGAGATCATTTAGAATATCAATCAGCTGCCGGACAGAGACGTGACCCAGCTATATTAAGGATAACTGGATACCGGCGCCCCAGTCCTTCCTATGAAAGTTGCCCACTAGGTGCATTTGATTTAAGTTAATGCCAAAGCGTGTGCTTATCATTCTCAATAGGACTCTGTTTACATCGGGCTCATTGATCCCTTTTGGTCTTTTGATGTCTGTGTAATAGTTTTTTGGACATGTCACTGTGCAATGGTGGCACTACAACAACTCCAGCCTCCAGGGAAGATAGAGAACATATGTGCATACCTCAAAACACACGTGCCCTCAGGCTTTCCTCAGGCGACGTTCACTGCTGTCGGTGTGTCGCTGCAGTTCTGTCTACAACTTACTGTGACTGTTGAGTTTTGTCATTTCTCCCGACTCATGTTTTCAACAATACATATTACCATCTGTCCAGCTCTTCTTGCTCTTGTCGAGTCACTGTAAAGGTTTTGGGTTTGTTTCACTTTTGGCCATTGTCTTGTTTGTCCCTTTCACCCACATGCCACGTGTGTGCGTGCAGTTGCCTCGTCGTACAGACCCCGAAGCTGAAAACACCCAAAGGGTAAAACAATATGTGACCTCCTCTCGGGGCTGTGCTCCTCACGAGGTGAGGTGACAGCCCGGTTGTCCCACTTTGCTAATTATGCTTGAATATCAATCAACCAACAGAAAATGCATGAACAAAACCAATGACCCGCCCACTTGCAAGATTCTCCAAATCCGTCCAGCATGTATTGCTTTGTGCCATCTGGTACAGAGGTGTCTACCATGGGAGCATTCTCTCCGTCTGCTCATCATACGGAATCAGAGACACATGTTTACTTGAACTGGTTGGTCAGAAGTGTGGTGTACCTGCACTTTCCTCTGGATGAGATGAGAGTGGGTTCAGATTTACAAAACAAGATCAGGTAAAAAGAAAGAAATGTCCATAAGTAGCCTTAGAAAAGTAATGTATTACGTAATGTAATGCAGTAAAAACTCATACATTACTAGGCCTTCACCATCCCTTGTTTAAAACGTACACATAACAAATAGAAAAGGAGGTCTTGAGCAGTCATATGCATCCAGACATCCTGGCAAGGATTCCTCTGTGGCCTTTGGGCAATTCGTGGATTGGATCGGAGTTGTTTTCACCCGTGGACACACCGCCACCTGGTGGCCAAAACACGGTCAGCAGCACATCGCGGGACAACCCGTGTAAGAGTGCGATTATCAAAATGAAAAATGAATGCAAACCATTGATACAAACCTAAAAATAGGCTCGCATAATCTTGAGCAAATTTTAATCAGGAAGTTATGCCTTTTATTTCATTACAAAGAAGTTGGCGCGTCACCTCGGGTCCGCAGGCGGATAGGAACCATCGTCCTTCGCTTGTTTCCTTTCTGGAGGCGGACGAGTCGCTCGAGGAGCAAATCAAAATGGCGAGCCAACAGGAGTCCGTGAGGGAGTTTGTCGCCGTTACCGACGTGGACGAGGAGAGGGCCCGGTTTTTCCTGGAGTCCGCCGGCTGGAATTTGCAGGTTGGTCTTTTCTGCGTTTCGGCGTCGCGTTGCGGCGGACTGCGCAGCGAGGAGTCAGAAGGGAGCGGCGGGGATACGGCGTGTGTCACACGGATAGCTCGTCCGGCTAACATTAGCCCGTGTTGCCGGTGATTTGTGCAAGTCACCCTTTGACAATGGCCCGAGCGCTTTGTCACCGAGCAGCACGAGCATTGTACAGTCGGGTGGCGGCGCGGCCGCGCGCACCGTGCGCTCCTTTGGGCGATTCTCTTTATTAAGCAGGTTGCCACAAAGCTCAGCGGGCTCGCGCACGAATGCCGCGAGTCCACTGAGCTGCGCTAGCTAGCGTTAGCGCGTAACGACGTAACGTACATGACCCAGTGTCGTGTCCGTGTAAAGATCATTGGTTACCGTCTGAAGCTGAATCACTCGCTGTTCTGCTCAGGCATGTTATTGTGATTAGGAAAGTGAAACTGACAGTGAAACTCCTTTTTGTTTTTTTCACGCGAGTAGCGTCATCATGTTACAGCAGTGAAAGAGGTCACACATGTCAGCTGGGATACTTTGTTGCTTGTATACTGAAAAACTCATTCACCACAGATGGAGTTGAGTTATCCTTCTCTCAACTGAGATGTCATTTAAAAGGTCACCAGTAACACGTGACACGTGTTAGGCTGGGTAAACTCCTGTCAGGACTTTTTGTTGACATTGATTGTTTATTTGTTTTCGGCTCCCTCCCTCCCAGCTTGCACTTGCTAGTTTCTTCGAGGATGGAGCTGATGACGACATAGTGACTCTGCCTCAACCTGAGATCGGTTCCTCGGTGTCCCGGTCTGCTGGGCCAAGGTAACGGTTACGGCCTCCCACCGGCTTGTTATCACCTCCACGCATTGGCACACATTGGAATGCGATGTCCAGTCTGGCTCCTCGAAACCTCTTGGGTGGAAAGAGATTTCATCAATTGATTTTGGTCACCCACGAATTCAGTGCAACAAACCTCCTTTTTATTTTGATACCATTAGCGCTCAGCCCAGAGTGACGTCCTTCAGAGATCTGATGCACGAGGCAGAGGACGAGAGTGACGAGGAGGAAGGCCAAAGGTGAGTTGAAATCCACGTGTTGCCAGTGTATCTATCTTAAGCGAATGCGCCACTCGCTTTTACAGGATGAAGGAATACGGCGTGCTCATGTGTCTGCTTTTCCCTCTGGCCAGCGCGGTTTGACGGTTGTTAAGGACAATGTGTTGGGTTGCTGTGTTTTTAGTATTGTGTGTGTGATCCAGAGCTTCGGTACCAACCTTTTTTGCACAGAGTACAGTATTTTTTTCTTCCAAGAAAATAACGTCAAGGTGTGGGGGATTCACATGATAAAATGATGTGATCGGCATGAAATCAAATATAAAATGGATAAAAATGAGACAGACCAGCGCCCGTAATATCACTTTATTTTGTTTGCGGTCACTGCAGTAACTCTGCTTCACAAAGAAGGAAGCAGAGTTTTCAGTACGTTTGTGGTGATCTCTGTTGTCTCTCTTGTTGTTAATGGAGAACCCTGGCAGAGTGTTTGTCTCATATTTTCCAGTCGTTTTCAATCTTCTAGCGGGGAGATGCTCGGTTCACCTTGTTTGTTCATCCGGTCTGTCAGTATGTGAGTCGGTTGTGGGAAGGAAGCAAACCTCAAAACCTCTTGAAAGCCAAGCTCCAGCTGGCAGAATGAAGGCCTCCTGTCAGGCTCTTTCAAGATCCTTGCTAATTGTCGACGGTGGCACAGGAGTAGAGCAGTTGTGCCTGGAACCCCAAGGTTGGCGGTTCGAACCCCGGCTGCTCCATGTCCCATGTCGAAGTGTCCCTGAGCAAGACACCGAACCCCTAATTGCTCCCCGGGCAAAAATGTAAAAAGCCATGGGTTGAAAATGTAATGTAAGTCGCTTTGGTTAAAAAGCGTCTGCTAGATGACCTGAACTTTTCCCTTCTCTGATGGGGGCCGGGGTCAGTTTGTAACAGAAAAAGTGTGACAATCGCAATGGTGCCTAAATGTAAACATTTATTGTTTTCCAGAAAGCCACACATAACCAAATATTAATAAGCCTTTCTGGGAAAACATTCAGTCGAAACATTGTCCACATTAGACATGGGGGGGGGGTGGGGGGACTGGTATTCGTGCTGTTTTGCTGCTGATTGGTGGGCTTCTCAAAGGGTTTGTTTGAGTCTTTCCTCCATCTAAATGTGTCTGAATACAAACACTTCTGCCAAGTTCACTCCAAACCGTTATAACGGTGCTGCCATTGAGCCAGAGGATTACTATAACTACAAATATCTTTGTATTGTCTTAATGGCAAACTTTGATTTTTAAAAGGCCGTTTTTTTTTCCTGAGAACTTTCTTCCGAGATGCTGATTGTATATTTATAGGTGCGTTTGCAATGTTTCTTGTTATGGCTTTATATTCAAACATTCCTAGTATAACACCTTTCCGTGAGATGACTCTTCATCTTTAGCGCTCAGGTACCCGGGACAGCCATCGAGCCATTACACCTTAAAATGAAAAGGCATCACACCCGAGACTTTGTTCCTCGATCTAGATGATGATGCTGTTTGGCTCGTGTGGTGTAAGAGTTCCTCACGCTCTCTATTCCCTCCCCGGCAGGTTTTTCGCGGGAGGGTCAGAGCGCAGTGGGCAGCAGATCGTCGGGCCTCCCAAGAAGAAGAGCTCCAATGAAGTGGTGGAGGATTTGTTCAAGGGAGCGAGGGAACACGGGGCTGTGCCGCTGGACCGGCCTGGACGAGGCCCAGGGGAGTCCAGCAAAGCCAGGGTGAGGGGGAACGGAGTTGGGATTGGTTGCTGCACCGGCGTCTTTCTGTGTTTGTAACTTTGAATGTCTCCTCTCCCCATGAAGGCCTTCATCGGAGGAGGCTACCGGCTCGGAGCAGCTCCGGAGGAGGAGTCGGCCTACGTGGCTGGAGAGAGGCACGGCTCCAAAGGCCAGCAGGACGTGAGTACAGATCCTGAGGGCTCCTCTGTTTTTCACTCGTTGCTTTGTTTCTTGCACCATACAAACCCGTCTTTGTTCAAATGTGTATTTCTGTACATACACACACATGGAATGTTATAACATTTAGTTTATTACAGTACATTGTGATATTCGTCTAATGGATGACTACCTTTGTAGATCGGATGTTGTTTTTCCTTGTTATATTGAGTCTGGACCTCTTTAGTCAAATAAGCCTCGTGGCCTCTTAGTCGGAAGAACAAAGTATCAAAACAAAGTACATTATAAAAATAAAAAAATCTTTTTCAGTTTTTATCATCTTTAGTTGTAGGGATCTGACATCCATATGGAAGTATGACCTCTGTCACATGGTGTGTGTGTGTTTTAGGTGCACGTGGTGCTGAAGCTGTGGAAGACAGGTTTCAGTCTGGATAACGGTGAGCTCAGAAACTACAGCGATCCAGGAAACGCCAACTTCCTTGAGGCAATCCGAAGGGGGTGAGAATCTCATCTTGACTTATTTAAAGTACTAGATTATATCTGCATGAGGACACGCTGTCCTTAATGTTTCTGTATGCATGTGACGGCGTTACGTCATTGTGATACATGACATGTAATGTAATAAAGGGCGACCTGTACATCCGATAGTAAATAGGTGGACTAGATTGTGAAAGTAACCCTGGTAAATACACATACAGGCGCTGAGTGCGAAATCCTTTTTGTTCTCCTACAGCGAGATTCCCCTGGAGCTGAGGCAGAGGTCTCGAGGGGGCCAGGTCAACCTGGACATGGAGGACCACAGGGACGAGGACTTCTCCAAACCCAGGATGGCATTCAAGGCCTTCGGGGGCGAAGGACAGAAGTTGGGAAGGTGAGATCACTGAAGAGTGTTCGAGCTGCTGAAATGGACGCACGTTTTAAATTGAATAAACTGCCCACAATCCCTTCTGCTCGTACCTGTGATGAGGTATTATTCTATTTGTAGAAGCATTTAGTCAACATTATGTTTGCTTTATTGTCTCCATATTGCCCAACCTGAACCTCGGCTAACTGCCTCAGTGTACTACAACCGCAGTTTGACAAAGTGGAATGTATTCTAAACTTTTCCCTCCTCCCCCAGTGCCACCCCAGAGCTGGTTTCAGCCCAGGCGACGTCTCAGCAGGACCAGGCCGCCATCGAGGCCGAAGCGAGCTCCTCCGTGACCCTCGACTCGTCCCAGCCCGTCACCAACATCCAGATCAGACTGGCCGACGGCGGCAGGCTGGTCCAAAGGTTCAACTACACCCACAGGTGATCCGCGGGCTCTTTCCAACTGGGAGTAGCACACAAACCCGGTTTCTGCAGGCTGGGGAAATGTTTTCTGATTTCCCAGTTATTGAACCACTAAATGTTTAGGCAAAAGTGTATTTTAATTGCAAATGCAAAGAAATGAAGTGAAGAGGTGATCTGGTGAGGACAAAAACCCGCACGCACATGCTGCTATGGGTTACTGTAGTGAAGGTACTTAGAAGAAAAAAAAAAAAAAATGAGTTCCCAATTTTGCAGTTTGTGTCAAACCTCAAGCTCCTTCTGAGTCCTATCTCAATCAAATATGAGGCAGTGTTTCCCCTTTCATACCCCTATAATATAATGTCTATTTATTAACCAATGTCAATAGCCTCGTGTTACTTATCTTATTCACACGTCATGTCACTTTTTGTCTCTACATCGTTGCACATTTACAATAATAGTTTAACCTCCATTCTCCTGTTTTCAATTCGTTTATTTGTTTATTTTATATGTTATTCAGTGCATGACTCAAATTCCGTCTACATTTCCTGTTTTGTCCCACAGGGTGTCCGACGTGCGTCAGTTTCTGGTGGGGGCGCGGCCCGCCATGGCTGCCAGAGAGTTTGTTCTCATGACCACCTTCCCCAACAAGGAGCTGTCGGACGAGGGCCTGACCCTGCAGCAGGCCAACCTCCTCAACGCAGTCATCGTCCAGCGGCTAAACTGAGGCTTAGTGGGGAGGAAGCCCCTCTCCTCCTCCGCCTGGTGGTGTGGCTGAGTAACTGCAGCCCTGTGAAACCTGCTGCCCCTTCTGAGGGAGGAGAAAACACAGACTTATGTTTCAACTTCTGATTCCTTTTGTTTCTTTTTTTTTTTTTTTTTTCTAAAATGAAAAAACAACATTCTGCTCCCCACGTTTAACCTCCAGCTCTTCTTGGTCTGTGAACGGCTGTTTCAGGGGGAACCTAAAAGTCTCCTATCCCTTAAGGCCTGTTGGAAAGCTAACGGATGCTGTTGATTTGTGGTTGTGATGTGGGGGAGGGGGGGGGGGGTACTTGACAGCAGTATATGGTTGAACCCAAAGAGCAGTTTGGCTGCAGAAATGCTCTTTTATTTCCCTTTATCACGCTCCCCACCCTTCTTCTTCTATTCACCTTAAGTTGGCCGTCAGCTTTGTTTACTATCAGTTGCTGGGGCCTCACCAGATCCACGCAGCGGCACATCACCCGCGCGCCCCCCCCGCGCCCCGCCTGTCTGTCTCAATGGCACAAGCCAGAAACACACAGGGAATACTAGTCTTAATAAGGTACAAGTACACGTTGATAATGTGCTTTATTGCGAGTTTCCATCTCTCGCTCCACATGTTCTATATGGGGGGGTGGTGAGGGGAGGGGGGTCTCCACAACCGATACCAGTAGCCTTACGCTCTTTCAATTAGCTCCATCACCAAACCTGTCCCTTTTTTGCAAATGAAGATGGAATTATTTTTTTAAACCGCCTTTATCTCCCTCTTTTCCTTTACTGCACCCCCCCCCCCCTCCCTTCCCTTTTACAGACTGTAGGAAGGTCCCAGTTAGACGGTGGCATTTTGATATTGTGTGACGTGACAGTTACACGTAGCTTTATTGTCCAACCAATGGCTGAGCTAAAGAACAATTAGATTGTAGACATTGGTTTGTAGAAGTGGAAGTTGAATTCTATCGAGGACGCTGACACCTTCTATGCATCCTGGGGGGGCGACACAGAAATAAGTTTGGACCTCTGGTGAAATAAATCCATTTTATGGTTTGATGTATAAAGAACTGATTGTGTTGTGTTTTTATTGCATTATGTCAGCTTCCTGTCTGTTGTCGTTCTGTCTGATTATCGCGCAGTTTAAAGTTTCTTTAACGTGTGATTTTGCACACAACTCACAAAATATATTTACCTTTTGTAGAGTTCACGAAGGTTAAAAACATTGTCATTCACATGGGACTTATTTGGCTCTCCTGTGGATTTTTTTTAAAGGGCATGGCATTTATCCTTGTGTCTTTTAGTGACATGTTTCATTTTGTTAATAGCATGTATGCCAACTGCAACCCTGCTGCTTTAGCACAGGGCTTTTGTGGCTGCACAAAGCTCAGACCACAGTGATTGGGAGGTGACATGGCATCATTTTATAAATTCAATTAAAAAGATCCCCCTCATGTTTACCTCTACATGTAAAAGCTGTTTGTTGCTACAAGTGGATCTTTGAATATTACTTATTGGAATATTGGGGGCATCTTTGGCTTTCCCGTGAAGCTCATCCTGACATTTGTGCTCCGCATTGTAAACTACTCCGGCCCACGTGGACGCTGCATGGTGTGCACTCAGCCCATTATCTGTTCTTAGGACAAAACACCTGCAAAAAACATTGCACTGCAATTTAATGAGTCATGCGCAATGTTAGAACATCATAATGATGCTACATTAAAGTGGTTCCAGTGGATTTTGGAGGCACTTGCTTTAGTTGGTTTCTACAGGGAGGAGGAGGAGGCGAGCGGAGCAGAGAGCACCTGAGTGTGTGCACGAGGACGCTCCGACGCTTTTTTTCCATTAGTTGTACTGTGATCTGTAAAAGGTCATTTATTTTGAAATGTTGAAACACTTAATTTGATAAAAGGCTCCAAAAGCACTTAAAATCCCCAAAAGGTGCACCGAAGCAAACATCTCTTTAGCCTCTGCATTGTTGATAGTTTTAGTAACAGTTTAACTTTAACTGGTGAACACTTTGAGCTGCTCTACTACTTCTGCTGAAAGTCTAAAAGGCTTCTTATTGGGATGATTGGTGTTGTTGTTGGTCTCCACTACGGCCGCCAGGGGGCCCGCTTAATGTGCACGCCTCACCCAGGACTAGGTTTTATTTTGGAGGGTTTGGCCGGAAGTGGCGTTGTGCGACACGATAAAGAGACGGCGAGACAGACAGACAGACAGACTGGAGGAGCCGACGGGCCGAGGGACAGACCGAGTGACTGCAGGAGGAGCGCAGCCGGCGCAGGGACTTCTCTCCACAACACGCCGCTGAAATGGGAGTCGAAATCGAAACCATCACCCCGGGAGACGGTGAGAAACGCGTCCGCGTGCGTTACTATTTCCCCAGCTGCACTTTATTCACACCGCCACGGCTGTTCTGAGCCTTTTTCTTCTGACTTCTTCCACAGGAAGGACTTTCCCCAAAAAAGGACAGACGTGCGTGGTGCATTACGTCGGTGAGTTTTAAATAAGAAACGTATTACTCCGCGCGCACGGACACAAGCTACAACCGGTCCGGTTATTAATACTCCGATGGGCCGAACAAGTGGAGTGACGGCTGTGGGCAACTGTCTCCCTACACCCGCGTGAAAAACAGACAAGCGTGCTAATCCTGCAGTATCACGGTAAACATAAAATATCCATAATAACCGTGTTATTGCGATGCCGGTGCACTTTTGTTCAATGCTGCAGCGCGCCAGACACCCCGAAACCTTCCAGCCAGTGATTTATCAGTAGGGCAAAGAGGCACTGCAAGGAAATGTAACCCCTTCCCCACATGTTTCACTCCCTGGACGCGCATCCAGGATTCCTCCGTTGTGATCGCGCCCACAGCTGCGGGATCGGTGTCGCGCCGTGTCCGTCCCCGGGGACAGCGCACCGGATTCTTCCCTGCGTAAAAATATAAATGTGCGCTCTCGTTTGTGGTGGTGCGGCGGTGTCAAGATCAACGGATACTAGTGTGTGTCTGAAGAATAATCGACAACAAATACATTATAGAGGGACAGACAGACACCAGACAGACAGCAGGGTTTTAAATCCCGTCTGATTTCCAGCCCTTTTCTGTCTTTGTTGGGAGTTTATGGGGGTTTATTGGCGTTCAGTTGAGCGGATTAAAAACCGTCTGGCCAACTCACTGTCATTCCTGTAATTCTTTTCTCTCCAGACGCGTAATGTTTTAACGACACTGATTATTGGAGGAATTCCCCATCATGTAAGACTACACGCGCTGCAGATTTATTTTCTGTTCATTAACATTTCTAATCAATGAATCTCACATCATTTCCCAACAGTGCACAGCGCTATTATGTAAATGTAAATGTTAGATTTAACATTTAACATTTAGATTTAACATTTAGATTTACTTTTAACATTTATATTATGTAACAACTTTGTGTTACTGCCAAACATTATCTTTGGAATCAGGAAACATTTATTTCCAAAATATGTCAAACATACAAGGAATTTGTCTTGGCGGTTGGTGCGTGACAGTCTTTTGTTTTTTGTTCATATTATAATGCTAAATGTCGCAAAACTGCGTAGGATTTTAGATTGTGCGGCATTTTACAAACGGTGCCCCATGCAGCGCCGCTTTGAGCAAAATGCTAACATGCAGTTTCGAGTGTTGGAGCAGTAAAATTGCTAATAAGCACGAAACACAAAGTAGACCTGAGGACGGCTCGCAGGTTATAAAGTATCAGACAAATAAGCATACTGGAATGACAGGTTCAGAGCATCCTCAAAGTTATCCTCGGGCGAGTATGGAAACCAATTTTGGGTATATTGGGATATTTCAGTCCCGTAGTACCATTCGCAGTGTATCACGGTGATAGCTGTTAAAAGAGAAACGAATGAAACACGTACAGCATCTGCAACCAAATGGGATTCCAGATGGACTTCCCCTCCCACCTGCTGGCCAGACACCACTCTCCCTGTAACACAAGCCTCTTTGCTTCCAAGAATATGTAACAAGAGCTGATCTGGGCCTTTCACGGTGAAGTATGTGTTATGAAATGTCTTTTTAGCATTAGTCGGCATCATTTTGGTTTTTAGCTCACACAAAAACAGCAGGATATCCTTAGGGCGGCCTCCCTTCCTGTCACCCAATTCAGCCTTGAAACGCAAACTGAAACCGGATATTCCATTACAGACGAGCCTTTTTTTAAATGCAGTCAACCTGAAGATAAAAACTTTGATTTGTTGGGTAGCGGGGGGGTATTTTTAAAGGCTGACGTAGTCGTCCGTCCAGCTTGTGCAGATCATTCAATTTGCAGACGCGCTCCATGTGCAAGAAGACGAGAGGTTGCCCACTCCCACCCGCCCGAATTACAGGTTGGATCCTGCCAGCCGCCCCCTGATGTGCTTAACAACACAAGCGATGTCGCACCTCCACCCACACTACACTACACACACACACTCTCCTCACGCAGCACCGTCACACACACACACACACACACGGACACACACTGCCAAACCGTGCTAATAACAGTGCTGGTGTAAAAAGTCTTCGGGGGTGCTATACTGTGGTTCGATGCTTGCGTTTTCGCCGACTGTCACACTTTAAAACCGGATTTCGGAAATCCTTGCGTGCCTTTGTTTGCGTTCTCAATACAAACACATCGGGGGAAGATGATTTTCTCTTTAATAAATTGTTCTAAGTACAGTTTCTAGAGCCAGCCATTTTTCTCATTATCTGGTCTGCTCGTGTTGAGCCTACTGAGATAGTGGCTCGATGTTTCCCCTCACAGGTTGTGCATCGGCCAGACTCTCGCTCTCTCTCTCTCTCTCTCTGACTTTGTGCCCCTTTCTGCCTCCCATTTATCCCACAGGCTCCCTGACGGACGGGCGTAAGTTTGACTCATCCCGCGACAGGGACAAGCCTTTCCGGTTCAAGATCGGCAAGCAGGAAGTGATCCGAGGCTGGGAAGAGGGTGTAGTGCAGGTAGGCTGGAAAACTTCTGAAATTGGTAATGTTTACATTGTGTTGCATAAGTGCCATTGGAACAGACAGCTTCCATGTAGGAAATACTCATTAGCTTCAACAATCACAATTCAAAGACAAAAAAAACACAGAGAGAAGACACATTTAGCTGTTTATTCAACTGCTGATATACATTAGTTCCATTATTGATTTTTGCCCCCACGTATTTTTCCATGAACACAGCAAACGGTGGGTCAATACAGCACGACAACAGTGCTTTATCTCACACACTCAAGCATGCAGGGATTGGCCCTTCAGCTTCATGGAAGTGTGGCTTCATCTTCTCTGTGTACTGTGTACATGGGTTAGAATACCTTTCATATCTTAGTAAGACATCTGCTTAAAATTGAATGTCGCAACATCAAATGTTTTGCAATAAAGAGCCGAGGAGAGGACTAAAAAATAAGTAAGCAAGCGAGATGTTCCCCCCTCCGTCCCTTTCACTGCGCCCCAAGCTTTATTATCCACCTTGGAGCTCCAGACTGACTTTTGATTGGATTGACTGTATTGTATGTTGCAGACTGGCCATAGATCATGACCCTTGTTGTCTCTTTCTCTCTCCACCGATCATGTTGTCCGTCCCCTCGAACCTCCAGATGAGCGTTGGTCAAAGGGCCCAGCTGACCTGCACACCCGACTTTGCCTACGGAAACAAAGGCCACCCGGGTATCATTCCTCCCAACGCAACGCTCATCTTTGACGTTGAACTGCTGGGTTTGGAATGAAACAAATCAAGTCCTGTTTTCTTTCTTTTTAGCCTGTGAGTATTTTGCGACGACCTACTTGTTCCTCGTTAGTGACAGATCACATTCAACGGCTAACGTCAGCTAACATGCTAGTGCTAATTGCTATAGCTTAGGATTTTGTTTTTTCTCTATTTAAATAAGTCACCATGCTATCATGTCCATGCAGAGGACATGGTCAGATGAATCAGCTAACGTTACTTTTGTGTAGATATCTAACGTTAAGTTCTAGGAATCCCAAAAATATGCAGATATGTTAAAGGAGGAAAAAGCTGAGAGCTACCTAGCATACCAACTGTCACTATGGCTAGCTGTTAGCTCATTTGCTGGAGTGGACAAGAAGTTTACACATTTTGTTAAAGTGACCTATTACTTTTGACTCACAACCCACATCTGTATGGAAACCGCTGTCTTTTTCTGGTTGACTGCTTGTTTGGTAGATTTATACTCTGGCCAGTTGTCGAGAAATGTAGGATCCACCTCTAACTGATCTAGGGTTATACTGAAGAATTTATTATTATTTTCTTTAATTTAGAATCCCAATAATTAGAGGCTATTGTTAAAATAAAGTCACAACCGACATATATAATAAAGAAAAAACACACAGTTTAAAAAATATTTAAAAATCTGCTTAAAGTATTTTCTGCACTTTTCAAGAATTGTATTTCTTCTTGCTTTACAAAACAGTTCTTAGTTCTGCCTCATGTCGGCTACACGTCCTCCATCTTGCTGCATGCCGAATGCATCAGATTCTGTAATATCAGTTCATCTTTTTGTAATTCAAAAAGTCTTGACAGAAGAAAAAAACATTGTGCTTCACAGTACACGTTAATCATTTCAACGAACAGTTACAGGTGGACATTTCGTAGCTCGGTAGCAGAGGATCACCTGAGGCCCGCTGTGATCCTAAATGTTCCCTCTTGGTGTCTTCACAGGTGACTTCCTACCTGGGCGATCCGGAGAGAAACTATGAAAGTCTGCAATTGATTTATACGAGTCTCCAGTTTATTGTTCCACTACTTATTTCATCAAACTAAGGACAGCCTGTGTTATTTTGTCTCTGTGACTGAGTGAAATCTCTTTTCCACCATATCCTTCCTCCCTGGGAAACATGGGCCACAACCTTACAAACATCCACGTCTTGAATACTTTCACATTTTGCGCTTTAATTTTCTTAACTTTTTCCCCCAAATATTGGTTGCGCATGGTTACGCCGACAAGTACAAAACACTAATGAACCTCTAGCGAGGACATTCATCTGCCACGACTCCATGCGTACTTCTATTATACTGGAGAGCTTTGTCGTATTACAGGAATGGGGAAAAAAGTACAGTTATCAAACAATGATTTCTATCCTATCCAGCAGAAAACCAGAACAAGTGGAACACGTTTCCGTTAGGGAGGGACGAGGCGTAGTGTTGAGTTGAGTGGCTTGTCATGGGAGGTGGTGAAAAGGAGGTACTACCTTTCCCTGTCTTCATGTTCAAGGCTCGATGGAAACCCTAGCAGCATGTACACGTAGAAAGCTTTGCATTCAACCTGTGTTGTTATTGCCTTCTTATCTCGCCGTGTCTTTAAACCCGCCGTTAACGGTCAAACTGTGCAAGGACAGGATTTGTGTTGATGCACATTAATTGGATTTTTTTTTCTTAATAAAAAGAGTAAATAAATAGGAAATACTTGCAATTTGACAACAGGGGTTGAGGAAGCAATCAAATGGTGACCTCCCCTCGAAATATTGTGTCACGACTTCAATCCTTTTCAGATACGTGTTTTCTATCTCTGAGAATCAACAAAGTTCATGTATAATGTATGATGATAGACATTGTGCCCAGTGTCAGTGATGAACCATACTGCCTCACTGAACCCAAATATTCTGACACATTCTGACCATCCTAGTGGTTTTGTATCAATAAAGGAAAAAGCTGGCCTGGCTGTCGGTTGTTTACTGCCAACGTTACATATTGGCCAAGCTGCAGGTGGTGGGCAGCTCTCCGCCTCCGTACTGTGTAGTTATTTGCTGTATGCGGTTAAAACCAATGATTGCTTGTTTAAAATAAAACAAGTGCTCTCAACTTGCATTTTCCTTTTTTAATTATTTTTAATTATTTTCTTTTCCCACAGCTACAAAGCCTGACAGCGCAGATATCGCAAAATTGCAAAACAATAAAGTAATTATTTAACATACAATGGTGCATTAACATGATATGATTACATTACACGCATTGTTGTAGACGACTCACCAATAAAAATATGTATATATATATATATATACATATATATACTGTATATAAGGTTGTCATTACCCTTTAATCTAGCACTGAGGTGTTCTAAGGAAAAGACCATTAGCTATTTCTTCTTACCAACCCAGTCTGCAAATTCAACTTAAAAAAAAAAAGAAAAACAAAGAGTTAAGCTCCACGTGGACATTTTTCCACTACAATGAAATCATGTGACATCATAATGATATTGAGCTCCTACATATTTCTAACCAGTTCCAGAAGTTTGCAGAGATCTGGAGATTAATATGGTTTAAGAAGTGAGGAGGGAGCCGCAGCCGTGTGTAATAGTCTGCATTTGCTCACTTGAGTCTTTAATGTTGTAAATATATTTTATTAGCAGATTTAAAGGCATCAGACCACAGCTTGGTATCATGTTAAACAGCAAATATTTTTCTCATTACTTCCCAAGTCTGTGAACAATATTATTTAATTCCATTTGACTATGTATTGCTTTTGCCTTGTATAAGAATATGAGGTTATTATTTCTGTTATTTTTATTATATGTCTACATAATTTTAATGCATAAATGCGTGTGATATTAATTAAGCATTCTTTTTTTCTTTTAGTGCAAAGCTTTTTCTACCACCTTGGTAAAGAATCCAAGTTCCTGTTCCTTCACTGCTAATTGAAAGACATAGATCTGCTGCTGCGCCTCAAAGTGCCTCCAGGAGCCCAGCCATCCTCCTTGTGTTTGCACTGCATGACTCAGCATGTCCTTGGCAACAACTATTTTCAAATTTAAATAGGCCTACCCATTTTTTGTGATTTACAAAAAAAAGTCAACAATCACTGCTGTTTTTTCTTTTAACAAAATGGAAGCCTCCAATTTCACAAATAAAGGTCAGTTTACTATAATGGGGATTGACTAACACGGTTGGGAAACGGCTAAATTATGTCTTCTGACTCTGAAGGAGCTTTTCCAAGACTCAGAAAATAACACACATAAATAAAAATATGTGCTGAGTTTCCAGTCAAAAGTTTTGACACTCCTTTTCATGGGTAGAATGAGAAAATGTGTGCCACCAATTTTGACTATTTTTTTTATTTCGTTCGTTTCTATTTCGTTTAACTTAATTGAAGTTCAATAGTGAGTCACTGGAGTAAACCTTTCAAATCATAACCAACTAATTGTTTTTTTAATAAACAATAAATCGCGTGGGAAACATTTGGTTTGGGCTAAACAGTCATCACATCTTAATGTGTACGTAGAATAACAAGAGGAGTAATAATCTCCCGGTATGTTTCCGATCAATGCGACTCAAAGTGCGTGCGACCGATGGGGGGCGTGGCTTACGACGTCAACATTGATTGACGGGGTTTGGACCAGGAAGCCAGCAGTGACATCACTTTCCAGAATTCCCCTCCGGCACGACGAAGGAGCTCAAGAGCGAGATTAAAAAAACAAAAACAAAGGAGTTTGCTGCTGTTCGAGATTCCGAAGTTGTTGTTTCTGCTAATTTTACAAGCAAGAAATCCAAGGTGAGACTGTTTCTTCCGACCGGCTTGTGCCGAACCTCCCTCGCGGTAACGGTTTCGTTTACCTAACAAGCTAACGATGCAGCTAACGCTAGCATGTCGCTTCCTTGCTGCCTATGTCGAAACAAAGACGATATGCGTGGCGACTTTGCTAAAGGTAGCTAGTTATGTCTTCTGTATGATGTATGAAGTCACCTAGCCGGGACCAGCCTCTCGAAACGTCCGGCGGTTTGATTCCGGGTGGCCGTGAGGCTTCTCGGCGTTCGCGTCGATTTGCAACCTTCGTTTTTGTCCCATCGACACCTGATTGAGACGCAGCCCGGCCCCCACCTGAAAGCCCGCCCGAGACCTTTCGCCTCGATACCACAGTATTGAGCAAACACGTATTTTAAGTTGCGCTAAAGTCGGTGAAACTCTGCGTCATATCCTTGCCCCTGTGCTATTTTAGCGTTAATATAGTAACTTAACGTTAGCTGAAGAATGGGGCCCTTTGGAGGAGGAGGGGGGGTGTAGAAAGGGCGTGGGTCAGTTCAGAGCAGTGCGGCCATCTGTGCCGTTATTACCGCTGTCCGTCCTCCTTCCCCCCATGTCAACAGACCGGGTTTCGCTGCCCAGAAGCCCACATTCTTGTATCTAACTAATTCGTTCGGGCTCACTGAAGTTCTCTGTCTCTCCGTTGCAGTTTGCCCCCTGAAGCTTTTCCTTTTGGGACTCACGAGCAACGAGCTCTGCGTTGATGGGGACACACTCGTGACACAGTCCCCGAGGTTTTAAACGTAGGGAAATGTCCTTTTTTTTAATATGTCCCAGAGAGTCACGTGTCCATTTGAACCGCTGCAGAAGCGACTTAAGGATTAGTGTCGAGCTGCCCGAGCTTATTCACACACGGTACCAGTCAAAGGTTTGGACACACGTTCCCAATGGATTGAATAAGAAAAAGTCTCCAAACTGGTGCTGTAATCCTCCAGCTAGTCCAAATAAAGGAGGGATGCAACGTCAACAAGCTACAATCAGCTCTAAAGTAAACACTAGAAGGTATTAAATGATCCTGTGTGTCCGCTGCACAATGGGGCTCTTGTCTGTGAGGAGGAGTAGCTGGTGATGTGATTGTGGTCGGAATGGTTTTCTTATTTTAGGGACTCAAGTCTCTTTTTTTCCCCGCTGTCTGGTTATTTTTGAATGGTGCGGTCGGTGTATGCGCTCTCTGCGCAACTCCTACGTGACGAATGGCAATCAATACAAAGACCAGTGAGTCAGGTCTTTCTACCCGACACGATCTTTCTAATTGCTGACTTTTGCGTCCATCAATAGATATTTGGCGTTTTGTATTCTGACAGGAGGCTCTACGTGAATCCCTTTAGTTCCCTTCTCTTGAGTAAGAGTTCTCATGTCTTGTGAGTGTGAGTCAGCAACAAACTGTCACACGATTCTGTGACCTAAAGTACAATCATTCTGCTTCTTAAAATCATGTTGCCTCTATTTTAGGGAATCAAATAAGTTGGATTGGCATCATACGCTAATAATGGCTTTATGTGTCGGGCATTACATAACCCACTGTTTGTGCCATTATCTGTTTATTTATTTAGTCACATGACCATGTTCTCGTGTGTTAAAATACGTTCCATGCACTCCGGTACACTGGTCTTAATTTCAAGTTCAAATAACTTGATTTGTACATTTGTACAGAGTACAATCAGGTTGGAACTAATCTCTTGACTCATTTAAATTAGATCTACAAAGATCAGGGGGCAGTAATACCGGTTATAAAAAGAAAACATGTCACATATTACGTAAAAAGGGAAATGATGCAGGGATCTCTGCTCAGTGTTATAATAAACCTCCGAGTTAAGATATTGGAATCTGAAATAAGTCATTTTTCAGGCTAAAATGTTCTGGCTTGAGTCAAACAGGATGCTGATATTTCAATGTGTCCAACTTGGAGGACCAGTGTCTTTTGCATTAAGAACAAATGTAATCTGTTGCTTTAGAAGCCGCAACTACCTTCTTTTTCCCCCCCAGCTGTAGATACTGGGGCACGGCCACAAGTGCATGTTCTGCATTCCCGTGTGTGGTTTGTGCCACCACATCCTGAGCAGAACTTCCGTCTCTCCTTGATCTGGCTAAATTTTACCTCTTGTTTTTCATCCCCCAGTCACAAGGTATCATTTAATGTTTAGGGCTGAATGGTGCACAAGGCTGCATAGCAACGTTTTCACATTAACGTGAGACGTTTCAGTCAATGTTGACCTATAATCTATCTTATGAAGATCACATTGAGGTGAGGTTATTATGTGCCTGTGTGGTGAGGCTGGATTGCTACTTTGGGACACCTTTGCCCTTCTCACGGTCCCCTACTCACAGCCACTTGTGTTTTCCCCCCGTAGGATGTCCCTGTATCCATCCCTCGAGGACCTCAAGGTCGACAAGGTCATGAAGGTAAGTGCAAGGACGACTCAGTGTCGGCGAGACAGCCACCGGGAAATAACCACCTCGGTAGCGTGTTGTGGTCTAACCACATTTCTTTGGCATGACGGAGGAATGCGTCCATAAATTACTGTTCTCATGTTCAGTAAGGAAATGTGATTCCAGACTGAAGCAATGTAGCACTGTACAAAACATTGATGAGGGGTTGAAAATATACACAGATTACTCTAAACTCAAACATTTGAGAGGATGACTACAATTAGTGTAATGACTATTTAGTTTGAGTATCACATATTCTCTGAAAACGGTTGCATAATGTCTCCTGTGGCTCAACCAGAAAGCCTGCTGGTGACGTGGGGTTTAAAAGAGTTGAACATTTAGGACGCGGTTGTGGGGGTCTAATAAAATATTTCACAAATGTTAGATCCAGAGTTTTTTTATGCTTGATCCGTGTTAGAGACCAAAGGTCAGCGTGTCTCCAGACAAAAGGCCTCTGCTGCTTGGCCTTCTCCAACCCTCGTGAGTCCCTCAACTTAGTCAATAGAAGGCCGGATCAACATGAATCACACATCAAATATCGCCTAGATTAATATTTAACATTGAAGAATTATTTTATTGCTTTCAATTCCTGGTAAATTATAAATAGCAATATTTGTATTGTTTCGGCCAACAGTAAAGTGTACGTGCTTTAAAGCGCTCTTCAGGGTTTAAGACGGGATGTTTTAAAGGACTTGCATTTCTAATGAGCGTTAATGTTTCCGTAACAACCCTTCATCAATACTTTTTGTGTTTCACTGCCATTGATCCGGCGCTGATCTTTCCATGTCCGAGTGCACTTGCAGTTGACTGGTGTGTCTGATTACGTTCTAGGCCCAGGCGCAGTATGCCCAGACTGCCGCCTCCATGCCGGCCATCGCCGAGGGAACCTACCAGCCTCAGCTCGCCACCGCTGGCATGCCGGGATCAAGTGAGTCTCACATATGAACAATTGACTTTATCCCTCCGCCGCGTCACCAAACCCAAGAACATCTCCCATCTACTCGCCTGTTAGCAACAACAACCCCTTTCTCTTACCAATGTGTCTCTCGCTTCTCTTGCTGGACATTTGTGGATGTCTGTGGTTCTGAGCCTGTGCTATTTGTTGGAGAGGAACAGCTCTGTAGTATTAGCGACGGGTGGAGATGAGTGGAGTGAGAGGACGGGAATGGGAGGAGTTGATGGTCTGTGGACAATTACAGGAGTGAATGGATCTCCCACAGCGGCTCTGATTTCCCTCTTTCCCCTCTGTGTTTGTGACCTTCTTGCTTTCTCTCTCCTTGTAGTCTGCTCCGGGACCTCAAGAATCTTCTTTTCTGAGCTTATATGAAAGTAGTCATGAGTTTTGAGATGGAAGAAAAGATTACTGAACCAACTCGTGTACTCGTTTAGACTCACTTCTCCCCTTTTTCCATTGTTCCCCTCATCTGGTTCCTCTTTTCATTTGGATGCAAAGTCCCGTGGGCTTTTGGTCTTTTGTTTCTACCTCAGCAGAGCAAGCTATGAGTCACCATGGAGACTGGCTCTGGCAGTTGTGCTGGGACAGGGGCATGATGGGAGAGGAGGGGGAGGAGTTGGCGTGAAAAGAAAAGAACAGGAGGGAGGAAGAGCTGCAGGGCAGTGAGCTAGAGGAGCAATGGGAGGAGAGATGGAGGAAGGGAGAGAGAGGAGGTTGACATCAAGGACTGGACCCACAGCCACAGCGAATATCGGCTGTAGATCGCATCTTCAAAATCACTTCGTCGTCACCCACAAGAACCTCCCTGCAAAAGACTTGGAACTGAGCGCTGGGCCTCATTGGCCACCAATACACTTTGCTGTGAGAGAACATTGTGCCACTTTGGGGGGGGGGATGAAATACTATATCCCATAGTTCTGATGTCGCATCCATAATAATGACACTGTATCTCATCATTATGAGAAACATTTCATAGGCGTGTGCGTCAAAGCACCAGAAGCTCAGCAGATCGAAGTGGACGCAATCACCGAAAACCACTTTCCACGCAAATTGAAAATTGTGACATTTTAGTCGTTTTGGAGTAATCCAAAATGAACGCACCGTTCAGTGTCTATTAGAGGAATACAGGATGGATCAGGGTTGATCTCTTATGATTTGTGCTCTTTATGTTTCGCCAACAGCAATCTCGCTCCCCCCCCCCCCTCTCTTGTCTAGAGCTGTGAGTGATTTCGGAGTGCTTGGGGAGAGTGTGAATGTGGTCGAAGGGACTGACTCAAACCAAATGTTGACTTTTGAGTCGACTCCACCTGGTTCATTGCTTATTCATTGTTGAAAGCAAAAATAAATACTTAATAGTGATACGAGTGTTGACTTAGCATGCCTGAGCTCCTTGCTGGTACTCCCATGTCGCAGCTCATTGCGCATTACGTAATTGCGCGTTCAGAATTCAGATTAGTCCTCTCACTTAAAGAATCTAAACTAGTTTCGTGTGTGTGTGTGTGAGTGAGACACAACTTGTACCTGTATCAGGTTCCAACCTCCACTGTGGTCAAAAGACCTGTCCAAGGATGTCCGGGAGCATCCCTCCTGTGACGTGTGCAAACCGGGCGACCAACTAGTTGTACAAGTGGTTCGCTGTCTCAGTTTGAATAAACATTCATACGTTAATTTCTTTGTCTGTGTGTTTGTATGCTCTACTGACACTCACCACAGTCAGACCCCTGTTACATATGTGCGCGCACACACACACACACACACACACACACACACACGCACACTTAGCGAGCGCTGCGGCCTGAGCGGTAGCTGCCCTCCCCCACGCTGTGGGAGCAGATGGGGTGTCTGAGATGCACTGGGCTCTATGGCGTTATATTTGTGCCACAATCCTGAGCGCGTAATTTTAAGTTTTGAGCACAGAGAACTATATTTTAGCAAAGAAAAACATCCCGTGCGCGCAGTTTACTCAGGTGCCCTCGCCACAAACTGGTTTTCTGCGCGCAGGCAGCCGTTGCTGCGCTCTCTCTCTCCACCTCTTCACGCTGCGCTCGCTCGACGTTTCACTCACGCGCTCGCTCGACTTGAAGCAGCGTTACATTTGTGCCACAAAACCAACCAATTAAAGAAGGTCAATTGTGATTGGCTGTTGGTCTCCAATCACAACGCTTCCTAAAGAAGACGAAAACGAGTGAGTCCGGCTAGCCACCATCAGACATGACCGAAGCAAATGATGAGAACACCAAGTGTTTTAATCCAGGCCGTTAGCATTTAGCACAAATGCTGCAAACTTCAACAACTCGCTGAGCTTCCGCGATGCTGTAGGTAGTTCTACTAGCGTTGTGATTGGAGACCAACAGCCAATCACAATGGACCTTCTTTAATTCTCTGATTGGGTGGTTTTGTGGCACAAATGTAACGCTGCTTCAAGTCGAGCGAGCGCGTGAGTGAAACGTCGAGCGAGCGCAGCGTGAAGAGGTGGAGAGAGAGAGCGCAGCAACGGCTGCCTGCGCGCAGAAAACCAGTTTGTGGAGTATGGCGTTATATTTGTACCACAATCCTGAGCGCGTAATTGTACGTTTTGAGCACAGAGAACTATGTTGTAGCAATGAAAAACAGCCCGTGCGCGCAGTTTACTGAGGTGCTGTCTCCACAAACTGGTTTTCTGATCTTTCCATGTCACAACACTAGTAGAACTACCTACGGCATCGCGGAAGCTCAGCGAGTTGTTGAAGTTTGCAGCATTTGTGCTAAATGCTGCAATGATGATTAAATGATTAAAACACTTGCTGTTCTCATCATTTGCTTCATGTCTGATGGTGGCTAGTCGGACTTCTAATATCACTTTTTTTCGTCTTCTTTAGGAAGCGTTGTGATTGGAGACCAACAGCCAATCGCAATTGACCTTCTTTAATTCTCTGATTGGTTGGTTTTGTGGCACAAATGTAACGCTGCTGCAAGTCGAGCGAGCGCGTGAGTGAACCGTCGAGCGAGCGCAGCGTGAAGAGGTGGAGCGAGCGCAGCAACGGCTGCCTGCGCGCAGAAAACCAGTTTGTGGAGAGGGCACCTCAGTAAACTGCGCGCACGGAATGTTTTTCTTTGCTACAACATAGTTCTCTGTGCTCAAAACTTAAAATTACGCGCTCAGGATTGTGGCACAAATATAACGCCATAGTGGAGAGGGCACCTCAGTAAACTGCGCGCACGGAATGTTTTTCTTTGCTAAAATATAGTTCTCTGTGCTCAAAACTTAAAATTACGCGCTCAGGATTGTGGCACAAATATAACGCCATAGGGCTCCGTCATCACCAGAGGCCGACAGTGGAGCGCACTCAGCAGGCAGTATGTGATGTGATGCAAACAGCGACATGACGTGTTGCAGTGTGACTCTCCACGCTCAGCCAGACGTCTGGCACCAATGCGACACCTAACGCTGCTGCAATGACTGAAGAGCGCTCCTTCTCTCCTAAAGTTGAATCCTAATCCCGTCTACGTCTGCGACGCCGTGGTGGACTCTACAGGACCCACTTGCTTGATGTGGTGGCACTTAATAAATACTGACCCACCCTTTCTCCTGCACATCTCTCTCTTCTTCTCAAAGGCCTGTACCCGGACCTCGGGGAGCTTGGCGACTACATGGGCCTGGCCCTCAACAGCGAGGAGGTCCAGAGGAACCTGGCCTTGTTGCCGGTGGCTGACAATGTAAGTGGTTGTGTGCATCCTTTGGACATCTGAGGGGTGAACGCACGGTTCATGAAGCCTCTCTCCAAACCTTTTGAGAACCTGTTTTTAGTGGGTGGAAGGGGCTGTAGATCACTATTCTATTCCTGGAGATCCACACTACAGAGTGACTCAGCGCGGCCTGCAGCAGAGTGTGGGTGGGTGTGAGCTCTTCACTCCCCTCCATTTGCGTGTCTGTGCTCGCGAATGTCAAAGCTCTCACGGTCGTTATATTTCTCTGGTTTTAAATGTCTTCGTTGTTGGTTCAGAACATATTAATGAGGATGTTTCCCAAAGCAATGATTAAAGCATTCCTGATCCCGTTCATTCAATCGAATCCTCCCACATTCGATGCGGCATTGGTTTTTACAATAATGTCACGGTGAATTTTAATGCAACGCGCCTCGTTAATCCTTTTCTTTCTCTCTTTCACTCATTTTCCTCCTCCTGTTCTCTCCCAACCCACTTCTTATACTTTCTATACGCCCCTCCCCCCAGCAAGTGGCGTTGCCCTCCCTTTCAGGTGTGGGCGGGATGGTGCGGCCCGTGACGGGGGCGGATGTGGGCATCAGAAGGGCCGAGATCCGCCCCGGGCTGCGGGAGATTATCCTCTGCAAGGACCAGGACGGGAAGGTGGGACTCCGCCTCAGGTCCATCGACAACGTAAGTCAGAGTCTTCGACACACATCTCGCACCTCATTGGACCACATAGCGGAGAACTCTGCTCCTCTTCCGCACACACTCAGTGTGCTAAACCCACTCAGCTGCATTTAGAGCGTCTTCCCAATTCCTTTCTGACAATTAGTTGACTTCTCTGCGTGTTGTTGTTATTCATAAAAGAGTAGATTTAACATTAAACAGAGATAGTTGCTCCAGTTTCAAAGTGATGTGAAAATGTCTGCACTAAAGAATTTACGTGAAATTGTTTATTAAATTTGATATTGCATTCCGTACGAACATAAAAAAGCGTTCCTTCTTGCTGTTACTGCGATGGTGGAAATTAAATTGGTGTTTGTTCGTCATCAAGCCGCATTCAGCTGGAGACAGTGACTTTATTTGCTCACGCGAATGACTGATTCTTTTCGATTTGTCTTCATTTTATGCAACAAAATATACAAATAATAAATTCTGTCACACGGTAGAACACGAAATGCTCTCGTGCCTCATGCGGCTCTTCTGTGTTGCACCTGCTGCAATCGTGACAATAACACGAAGCACCAATCCAACATGAATGCTTTTCAATGTATGTTACACATCACATCTAGTTCCTGCACAATGAACGTACATCTAAAATGAAATAATAATATTCACAAAGTTCCATTGGACTAATAGATACACTTCAAGTTCTTACAGAGGAAAACCCCTGTAATTATACTGTAAGCTCTTCTTAATATATTGTTCATAGTTTAAAGTTAAAACGTTTGATGCTGTAGTTTGCTATTTATTTATATTGCATATATGTTGTATTATATTTCGAGAATGAACATTTCCTATGACAGTAAAAAACCCAAACGAACCCTGTTCTCTCATTAGGAACATTCCATGTCCTCCCTCCCCGCTGTGTCCTTGCCTTCCTTCCTCTGTTTTGTCTCCACTTTCAGCCTGTGTCTCTTTATCTATTCCCTGGATTCATTTTATCTGTTTCCCCTCTCAGGGAGTGTTTGTCCAGCTGGTGCAGGCCAACTCCCCTGCGGCCCTGGCCGGGCTGCGCTTCGGGGACCAGGTCCTCCAGATCAACGGGCAGAACTGTGCTGGCTTGAGCGTGGACAAGGCCCACAAGGCCCTGAAGGCTGCTGCCGAGACCCGCATCGAGCTCGTAGTCAGGGACAGGTGAGCTTTAGCCTTTAGCTCTGCGCTAACAAAGTATTTCAAATAGCAGATCAAAGGATTGGCTCCCTCTGCTGGCTGCTCCATCACTCGCACTCTGCTGTTCAGCTCACGGTTTGCTCTTTTAATGTTGAGTTTTATGTTTTTTTTTCTGACGAATTTACAGATATATTATTTTTTAATATACTAAGCTTTACACCAGTTGATAGCTGTACTGTGTGTGTGTCTCTAGGCCATATCAACGCACCGTCACCATGCACAAAGACAGCTCTGGCCATGTTGGCTTCATCTACAAGTCCGGCAAAATCACCTCACTGGTCAAGGATGCCTCTGCCGCCCGCAACGGCCTCCTGACCGATCATTTCATCTGTGAAATCAACGGACAAAACGTTATTGGACTGAAGGTCAGACAATCCATGTATCTCAAGTCCTTTTTATCATAGTCTGGTCTCTGGATATAAATGTGTGTTCTCTAGGACAGAATGAGCTTTGTAGAAACAGGAACTAATGCAGAACACGTGTGTCTTCTCTAGAAAGTTTGTCGCCTTGTAGTTACACCTTTTAGTGTAATGCAGGAACATTTTGAAGTTTTTAAGTAAATGCAGCATTCACCAGCTCCCAAATACACATGTGACGTTAAAAGGTGATTCATTTAAACCGTTATGTTGCTCTGTTTGCTTTGTCCTTGTGTGTTGTAACTAGGCGTGTTGTTCCATCACGCTGTGTGAATTCATCTCAACGTTTAACCCTTGTGCATCCTCTTAAAAACAGAGAAGCTGCTCTGACGTCCTGATCAAAAATACCACGTTTCTTTACATTATTTAGAATTTCCCCACTTTAAAAGACTATAGATTTAAACCTGATATAAAAGAATGTCTAACTTCATGCTTTTACGTTTTCTTTTTTTATCTACGCCAAAATCAAACTTGAACTTCAACACCTCACACTTGCCCAGGTCGTATTATGCATCAACACCGCTAAAATCCTCTAAGATTCTAAAACTTAAAATGTCCCTATTGATGCATACGGGTTAACAGAGCGAGAATGTGCTGGTCAGTGATTGAGGAGGTCCTCACATGTCACTGTTTGTGTGTGACAATCCCAGGATTCTCAGATCAAGGACATTCTGACCACCTCTCCGGCCGCCATGACCATCACCATCATGCCCAAGTTCGTCTATGAACACATGATTAAGAGGTAGGACTTCCATGTCTTTACCAATCAATCGGCTACTTGTTGGCTCAAATGTCCTTTTGTGTTTACCCCTGTTGGTGCCGTAAGCAACGAGTGAGTTGCACCATGAAGTGAACAAGAACTGTAAAGCAACAGTGGATCATTTTATTCCTTGGAACAGAACAAAAGGTTATTAGGGGAAGGACAAAAATGTCTTGAAATTTGTCCATTATTGAGTAGAGTAGTGTGCTGCGATTGTGCTCCATCAATTTAAATCCTCCAAAAGTGCTTATTTATGGCGATGATAGGATCTGATTATTACTATAAGTGTCATCATGGAAAATACCTTTATTGGGTTTCTTTATACTTTGTCATTATGACTTGTTGCTTTAAGACAGCGCCCGCTACGACCACATTCAGGTTCACTGACCGCTGATGGATGTGATGTTTTCTTCTTCTTCAGGATGTCGACCGGTCTCCTGCGGTCAGCCATGGATCACTCCGTCCCAGAGGTCTAGATACCGGGACTGTGGAGCGTCTACAATGCAGATCTCTCTCTCTTCTCCTCTCATATCTTTCTTCCTCTTTTTCCGTCTTCACACCAGACTGCCTCCTGCATCACAATCATTGCCGTCGCTATTTCTCACCCTCACACTTAACCTTTTAAAGGTCTTTTTTTAGTCCTTTTCTTTTCTACATGACCTTCATCTCTGTTGACACATCTATTACCTTATCTACCTTAACCGTATAGTCATTCTGTATTTTGTTTTGTATTTGAGATCAAGGACAGTGTTTTTCTTCTCTTTTTTTTGTGCCACGCACGCTATCATGAGTCCAGAGCTTCCTATTCATTTTGTGGAGACCAATCCGTGGCCCCTGACATTTCATCTGGTCAGAATGCTGTAAAGCCAACGGTCCGTCATCAGAGCCCTAGCATGTAGATCACAGCTGTGCTCCCAGTCCCTCCACTCGGCCCCTAGTGTGTGTGAGACTTGATTCTAGACTCCAGTATCATTTTAACTTGGCCAGTAAAAACTAACACGTTTTAAGTCTTGCTTTTAGTTTGTACCACATGTTGGTATATAAATTAGTGTTGATCCTGCCATTGAGATTAGGTTATTTTTGTACTTGTGAATAGAGATCCTTCTAACGTCCACAACACGGCGAGGTCCTGCGGCGCATTTCCTCTCTCTGCAGGCAAATGTGACGGCGATGCCCTGATGCGTGCTGTGTAGGAGCACTGTGCACATCCCGGGGGACAGTGGAGGGAGAAAAGCGACAGCGGGAGCTGGTTGCTGGGACGTCGCCCTGTCCTACAAACACTCTTAGAAACAGCTCTTAGACTGAAATGCAGCAGTCATCCAGGACGCAGTGCGTGGATGTGATTGGCTAGCTGGAGGTCAGTTCAGAGGCGTCTGTTGGTTGGATGTGGTGTTGCGCCTCTGACTGTAATTTAGAGGGATTTTGTGGTGTTTGTCTGAACAGGGTCTGTGCTGGGCGGACCCACTAAGTGCACTTTCCACTACCTTTTTAAAAGGTTGTCTTTCCTGTATCCATTTCAACGGTGAAGTTCAACGGCTTTCTCTTTTTCTTGTGTTTGTGGTGCCTCATATTAATGAGAACTCATTCAATAAACTCATTTGTTAACCATAGGAAACTGCTGAAATTTGATGCTGAAAATCCTGCGCTCAAGGGAATGCGTTTGAATTCCACTAAATGGGGTTTAGTCGTCGTTCCTGCTACGTGTTGCTGAAGGACGTTCCTGTAATATTCCTCCCTTGGTTGATGAGCACAATGAGACTGAGCAGAGCTCGCAGTTGTGAATTTCTACTTGTTATATAAAGTTTCTCCTTTTAATGCTGTTCATGTTTGGATGCATGTATTCCTTTAATTTTCTAGGTATGCAATCTGAAAAAAAACGTCACTGTCATTCTGTAAGAAAATCTAAAAGTTTATATACGAATGTAACCAAGATAATAATGTAAAACAAATAAACAGTCTTTCTGTTCACATTAGCTCGGTGGTGTTTTTCCTCTTGCAAAAAATGCAACAAATAATGTACAGTATCAAGCAAACAACAGCCAGAGAGACGGGATTCAGACACACATGACGACAACAGAAACGTTTCCTCCATGCTCTTTAATATAGGGGCTTTTGGTGTCTTTATACAGTGGTGGGAGGGTCAATGGAGGAGTAGCCCATTGACGTGGTTAACTGTACACACTATTGCCATTAAAGTAGTTAATTAACATTAGGTTATCTTGTAGATATCAATGATGTCAGCTAAATCCCTACACAAGGCTTTGAATGCCCTCAATGGTATGTTAAATGGTGTGGTATGACCGCTGTATACATTAATAATCATTACATATGCTATGAAACACATAGACAGAAAATAAAGCATAAATGGACATAAACATACCGACATATTCAGCTTCTTGTGTGTCTCAGGATTTACAAAGAATACAATCACTCAGTCAGACGCAGCGCACACTGACGCATCGCTTACTGTGAATTATGGGACAGAAATAGAAAACCGGATGAGGTACGGCGGCGTTCTGCAGGGAGCCCTCGGGACGCCGGCCTCTTGGTAGTAACAAGCCGTCCAATCGGAAACGAGGGGTGAATGTGAGGGGCAGGACGCGCCGAGCACTAAAGAAATGAGGCCTTTTACGAACCCCGGCATACATTAAACGTACTAACGCAGATGTTTAATTGAATACTGAGGATATATAATGTCTAAAACGTGCCACTGCCAGGTCTACGTTTGCTTGTGTTAACGCAAAAAATTATGAAATGCCATTTGCGCATAAATAACATCTTACAGATTTAGTGTTTGGACGACTCGTGCTAACACACTTTTTATTTTGTACGCATTAACACAACAAAAATGTATGCGTGTGCAACCCTCAGCCTAAAGTCTTGTGTGATAACTTAACAAAATGAACCTAAGCAGCTTAGCTGTAGCCTGCTGTGCATGAGGGCGACTCAAAGGATGATGCTGCTTCCCACAAGCCTGTATTCCTTAACCTGAACCACCTAACGCAGCATCCTGAGGTCACTATATTTACCTTTCCTTTCCTCCATCCTTTCCTTTCCTCCATCCCCGTGTGTTAGTCACAGTCGACGGCATGTGATGGGCAGCAGACTAACATCCAAGTACAATTATCATACTCTGAAATGATCGTTCACATGCTTTGCAACATTAGATATTACAAAACATTGATGTGGAGAGGAGGCTTCCCACATCCTCATTCCTTTACAGGATTATATGGCTTTTAGTAAATAGTTTTAGTCTCCCTATCGACTCAAGCCGAGCGGCTCATTGAGTCAGACAACGCGACAAGTGCACAACTCGTGCTAATGAGAGTGATGTTGAGGTCACGGAGGAGACGGAGAGTGGGTCTCTAAGGCATTCTTTCTTTTCATAGATCTCGACACCATTTGTGTGGATCCCTTAGGTCGATGGAGTGGAATCAAACACAGACAAGGATGTTCATGATTGTCATTGACGTCTGTCCATTACATCATCTGACCATGTAGCATAAACAAAAGCGTTGAGGCCTGAATGTCCACTATTCTGTACGGCCGCTAGATACATAATCTGGTGAAATGGGAAGAGCTGAGATCAATAGCTCGTATTGTTAATGAAAGTCCACGGCTTTACAGTATTCACAAAAATAATGACGTGTATTTTAATGGTATTTTTAAGGGTCTATCTGAAAAAGCAGCCTTAACTTTGCCTTACACGTGATCCGCACATTGTCAAACTGAATTGACACTGCAGGACAATCAGGACTCAGTAGACACACAACACTCTGGATGCACATACAATCTGGATTTCAAGTAATTGCTTAAAATGTATAAAGTGAACAATAGTGCAAAATATGTCAACCAAATATAAAAAATAAATAAAAAAAGAGCCATGCTGCTTATTTCATCGCAAAATAACTAAACAATTCATTTGGTTTCAGACAAGATTTAGCTGGTTACATCAGTCATTTCTCAATCCATTTTTCCATTTGGCTCATGAGTGGCTATCAGAACGTATTTGATTTTACAGGCTGCTTATTTTCTCTTATTACACATAAAAATAAACATTTAAACAATCCGCAAACAGAAGATATTTTCCACCAGGTTCCCCTTTGGTCAAAGACCCTGATCCTCAACGCGATTACAACCTATGACCCTTATTGATTTACACTTTGAGTGTCCACAAACATGTAGTACGCCATGAATAGAAACGCTTTGCGGAATGACCTATTAAACAAATAAAGTTAATTTATTCGCAGTGACTCACTAACTCTTGTACAGCGGACTTCAAATACATACTACAAGAGTGACAGTTTAACTACACCAACAAGAGCGTTTAGTTAGCAGAAATATACAGCACAACGCACAGACTAAGCACAACGCACGCCGCTCCCATCGGCAGCGTGTCAAACTGAGCCGCTGACTTCTAACAGCTTGTTGAATTGAAGAGATTTCCTACTTGAGTTGAGCGGAATAAAACATAGTTGAGTTTGTTTGAAATGTAAAGTTCATCTAACTTGTAGCAAGAGAGCAAAAAGTGTTTTTCCCCAAAATATCCAACTGTTGAGAGAAGCCATATAGCATAGACGTTATGAAAGAAGTAGACGTACCTCCTGGTCTTGAAAAGTGACCGTACTTCTACTTTTATTAATTACCTTAACAATAAGTTTATGGTCTCAATCGCTAGTTTCAAGTCTTCTTCAGTGCAGTGGGATGCCAGTGCAACAAAATGTAACAAAATGTTACACCACAAACCAACAGGTGACGCCGGGATGGCTACGTCCACTTCTTTAATACTGTCCACGTAAAGGAAGGGAAAGCATGTAGGCTCTGAATGGGACAGAATGTGATTTAGCTTTCATTGATTTCAGGACATTAAATCATACTCATACTCATGAGTGGTAGAAAAACAGCAAAGACAGCGCGCTCCCATTTATTTTCCACCGGAGGTCAACAAATCCCTCATTTTGCTTGGATTTGGGAAGACGAACTGTGATCCTGTGCTCGATGCAAAAGAGCAACCTGCGTTGCCAAATCAATCTTTGAAGAAAGGAATAATAGAGAGCAAAATCAAGAGATCAGATTTACACAATTTTTGTTTTTCTTTCAAAGGATGACAAACACCATGACACTTTTCTTGTCCCGTGTTCTGTCCTGCCTGATCTGCAACAAAGTTCGGTTTTTATTTCTATACCAGCACAAGCTCAGATAAAATAATTGTTTTGGGAAATGCACTTTTTTACCTTCTTGCCACAAAAAAACTCAATATTGAGCACCTCTCAAAATTACTCAAAAAAAATTGTTCAAGCACCTAAATGGTGTTTACATGTTTTGTTTGAATTATACAGGCAAGATGTTCATTGAGGTGCTGATAGGGGGTATAAACTGTATGTATGAGGCTTACAGTCTTCATACTAAGCTAAACTAATCTTGTGCCGGTTCCAGCTGCAAACAAGTCACATTTTAGAACAGATGTTTTGACCGTAGCCATGCTTCTCAAAAGTCATGGATCTGTTGCTCAAAGCAGACTTTCTGGATTGTATTTCATGTTTCACAAGTCTATGAAACAACACAACTCCGTCCTTTCTTAAATTGCAGGGCTCTAGTTCCAAATCTCCGCTTTAGAGGGAACAGGTTTTTTGCACAGTGCCTGCCTGGCATAAGTTTATGGTTTTAGCGTAGGCTTCTTGGCAGCCTTGCTTCGGTGCGTTCTACCTTTAGAATCAACCTGAGTTCTGTGTCTACATCGTTGTTTTTTCTTCACAAATCCGAACTAGGGTGGATCATCCCTTTGTCGCTGCTGCAGGTTAGTGTGCAGAGTACAGCTCGTGCACTGCATACAACGAGGCCATTTGGTTATAAAGAGACACATTCTAATACATACGCATACCATATATCATGTACTCACTCATCAAGATCATTAGGACATGCCAGAATAGAGACAGCCTCTTGGTTGACCAATCAATTAACCTGTAACATTTCCCCAGCATTTTAAAAAGAAAACATTCAGCGTTAAACATCCTAGCATAGACCATTCATTTCAACCAGCTCATTCAGTTTTACACAAGTCCGTAGTGTTGCAGACGTCTATGTAGCAAGAGCAAGGACCAGCGTATGAGAGACAATAAAGGACCAAACAGGACAGAGTTCATCAGCCAGAGATCTTGGTCATGAATGCACATGTGTTATTCTTGATGCTCCTCTAAGGTATTAACCTTGCTGAGGAATACAGGGCAGGACGTTTCTTCTTGGTTCCCTTTCCCACGACAGGTATCTTCCAAACAGCTATGACCCAGACTCCTCTTAATAATTCCTGTTATATCTGCGATCCGCCCAGGTCTCCCCCGCCTGCAGGGTAATGCCTCAACCCACCACCCCTGCGAAGAGAATGCAGTGCCACAGTGCAGCAGCCGCGCAGCAGCGACCCTATATGATACATGGGCTGTCCACTACGGACTGGACCACGGCAGAGCCAGGCCACTGTTGGCACTACAGGAATGGCCACTGCCAGCAGATCAACCAGGAAGTGACGGCTCCAGTAACTTTTCTCAATGGTCCCAGATGGATCTCCTGCCTCTGCTGTGGCACCCCCTGTGGCACCTTGTTCTTTAGTTCCATCTTCATCCTCGTCATCATCATCTAATTCCACTATAGTGACGCCAGCTATCTCCTCTTGGGAAGTAGATTTCCTTGGTTGCGAGGTGTGGGGCGGTTCTACATCCGTTGATAACCCTTGAGGACTAATTTCTTCTGTCTCTACCTTGGTTGATCCAGCTGCTGGACCAACTTCTTGCAACCTGTCTTCAACGCCAAGGTGCTCCAGTTCTGTCTTACCTTGTGTTCCTTCTCCACAGCAACTTCCAAAAGTAACCTCACCAAATGTCCCGGCGGATGTCTCTGTTAAATCGCACAGCTTACCTGGTGTTACCTCCTCTACTGCATCCTGAACTTCAACCTCTTTTCCCACCTCTGAGCCCATTTGTGTCGTAGACCCTTCTTCTGCCAGACTGATCACTGTTGTGTCCTCCTGTCGCTCAGTTGCTGCCGATTCCTTCCCCCTCATCTCACTCTCCAGCTTGTCCCCTTTTTCTACTCCCTCATCGGCCCGGCACAGAGGGCTTTCCATGGAACACGCCATCGTAGCAGAGCGTGGTAATTGAGGGACCAGTGGGGTTTTGGAGGCCGGGATTGGCTCTGTGGCTGTGCTCATCATCGTTGCTGTGGTTATTGAAGCTGTGGTGGTGAGGGAGTCCAGCTCCTCCTCCCCCTCATCAGACATCCAAGTGGAGGTGGGGCTACAGGCCTGTGAACGGAAAGTGCGTTGTTCCGCGATGGTATCCAGATCAGAGGGGTACCCTGCCGCTGCAGGAACGGGGCAGCTTTCAGTTTGAATGCCTGTCTCTCGCAGGGAGTGCAGGTAGAGGTGGTGGTGGGACAGGCAAGGATGGCTCATACAACCCACTCCACCGAGACCGCAAGGTGGCAGCCGCTCACCTGTGTACAGTTTCTCACACGTGGAGGAGTGCGGCATAGTATGGGCCACAGAGTGGGACACATTGCGAGGGAAAGAGCGAGGTAATGTATGGGAGAAGGTATGCGGCAGAGAATGGGGCAGAGAGTTGGGCAGTGAGTGGGGAAGAGTTTGGGGCAAATGTTGTGGAAGAGAGTGTGGCAAAGATTGGGAAAAGGTTTTTGCGTAGGAGTTGAGTAACGAAGCTGTTTCCTCGGAGAGGAAGGCAGCCTCTAACAGCAGGTCGGCCTGGCTAGGGACGCTGCTATCCCCACAGCACACAAAACCGCTATCCTGGGTGCCTTCACCTGAAAGACAAGGAAAGTCTGGGGCGTTGCCGTTCCTGTCCGCAAGCGCCTGATCGCTCAGCTTGGTGTAGGTGGAGCTCCGGGTCAGAGAACGTGCTGGGCTACCGTCGCAGGAGCAAGACCCCCTCCCTCCTACTGCCGGTTTGGGTATTCCTCCTGGACTTTCCCCTGATACCGATGCTGGTGCTGAACCACCAACACGGGTCCAACAGCCAGGTATGGCTTCCCCCTCCTTGGCTAATCCAGCCTGGGCTAGCTCCATGCTAAGTAGAAGATTCTCAAGCTTGTGGTTCTGAGCGTTGATGTCCTGAAAGTACCTCTGGACCCCTTCATCACCACTGAGCCCCCCTGCATCACTGAGTGAGGCCCGAACAGTGTCCACAGCCTGTTTGAGCTGCTGGATCTCCTGGCGCGCCTCCTTCAGGGCCAGTTGAGCCTCTACGCGGTGACATTCCTCCTCAACCCAGTCTTCCTGCATCCTGTATAGCTGGCCTCTCAGCTCATCTATTTCGGTGTCCCTAAGAGGGTACAAAAGGAGAGGAGAAAGGGTAGAAAGAAACAAAAATGACAATCGAGATAGGTTTGGGGGTAGGGGTAGAACCTGGAATGGAAACACTTAAGAACATGTCAGGCAACTTAAGAACTGACTTTGGCCAGTGTTGATTGCTAGCTCTGTATCTCACCTGTCTTGAAGAGTGTTGATGGTTTCTTTTAGCCTGGCCCGCAGGTGTCGGATACAGACCTCTTTCTGCTGCAGGGGTGTGAGGTACTGCTCTGGTGGAGGTGGCCGGATGCCATGGTTGTCTGTACATGAGTACTTTTGATGACGTCTAGGAGACATGATAAAAAGATGTGTCTTGAGTTCTATAGAACTGAATGTGTAAATAAATCAAACTGAGCAAAGCTGGGTTTCCACAAATATTCAGCCCCAGGCCCCAGCCAACTAATTTTCTAGGTACTAAGAGGTTCCTTCAGCCCATTGTTGTCTGCGTTTTGACTGCGCTCGAAAGAACCGTGAAGATTAGGAAATTTAGTTATTTTTTGATGCCTTACCCTTTGGTGGGGCTGCAGTCGCTGCCTTTACAAGAGCCTGAGTTGCTGCTGCTGCTGAGTGATGTGTTGCCATGGGGATCTCTGTTACTGGGTGCGGCTGGTGTCCGTCTGTTCCAAAGCAAGAAGACATGCTTGGCGTTAACATCCTGAAACCAAACTTCTAACATCAAGGTAAGACACTAAATCATGTTAGCTGTGGGGCAAAACCTTCCAAACATCTTTCAAAATGTCGGGTCAAAAAAGACACCAATGGAGCAATGCTGGCCCACTAACATGCCAATACAACACCAAAATAACAACAGAAACACACTACCAATACAGACAAAGACAATTTCCAAAGTTAACAGACAAAAGTGGTTGCTTAGAAACAGGGACACACAGTCACATGATGATGTGGCGGTTTGTAACGAAGGAAATGTGCTCTGCAAAAATGAAAATCCAATCTACAACTTCAAGGAAATTAGGAACTCAGAGATATAACAAGAATCACTCCTTGAAAAAGGTAGCCCCATCTGAAGGAGGAAGTAACAGGTCAGCTTGGATATGATGCTGTTGGAACACAATTATTATAACATGAGACATTCACAGCAGTGCCAAAGGTGTCGTCATTCCCATGCTTCAGAAAGCCAACAATGATAATGAGGAAATGAGAGGGGCTAAGGACAAACCGAGCACGAGGGGTAGAGGGAGAGTTTGTCGAACGGCTGTGGCGATCCGGAGACTTGGTAGAAGCGTATCCTTTCGTCGGCGACTTGGTCGATGCATAGCCTTTGGTCGGGCGCATTGAGACCATATAGCCTGTCTCCATAGGGACGTAGTCTAGCTCTATGAACCTGCAGTAGTCAAACCTGACCAGGCAGAAACAACATGATGTTACATTACAGAGGAAAGCAGAGTAGTACATTAGAGATACAATGTGCATGCTACCAATGTATGCTCTCTGCTGCAGTGAGGAGAAGCTCTCTGGCATATGCCGTGACGAAGGGCGCTGGCATGCTTCTGCAACTGCGGCTGCGTCTTTCCACCTGTCGATGGACTCGTTTTGATTCACGGTTCTAAAAGGCTTGCGCGTGTTGCAGAGCAATTCACCACCAGAACAATAGGTGCAGAAACGTTTTTTCAAAGACGACCTAGAGATGCCGTCTTTGTGTGTGGAAGTCGTTGTTTTGTTTGTTTACTCCAACATTTGCAGAAATCTCCCTCCATAAATTGGCCATTTGCGCGTCCTTATAGTCCGCCAATGACGGGTTGTATAAGTGGTCATATTTCCGTATTTATTCCAACAAAAGCTCCTCAATCTGATTCATCCATCCATTGTCAAACCGCTTATCCTGCACGCAGGGTTGCGGGGGGGCTGGAGTCCATCCCAGCCAACTTCAGGTGATAGACAGGGTACTGGTCGCCAGCCAATCGCAGGACTAACACAGAGACAGCCAACCATTCACACACCTACAACCAATTTAGAATCCCCAATTAACCTGATCCCCAGAGCATGTCTTTGGACTGTGGGAGGAAGCCAGAGAACCCGGAGAGAACCCACGCAGACACGGGGAGAACATGCAGACTCCACACAGAAAGGCCTCTGGACGGAGCCAAACCCAGGACCTTCTTGCTGTGAGGCGACAGTGCTAACCACCACGCCACCGTGTTGATTCATTCTCTCTTCAAAAATCTTCCTTTTAAAAATAGCGGTATTATGCTATGAAACCGGAAATGTGAGACCCCGTAAAGCATGTAGTCAGCAGACCAATCACAGCCTTGCAGGCTGCGTGAGGCTCGCGTAGCTTTTGACGCTGGTCTAAAAAAAATGGGTCGACGCACGCAAGGATGCAAGAACGCAAGAAGGGGTAAAATAGCACGCAAGGGGCACGCAGGGGGCTCTTGCGTGTGCGTGTCCTTGCGTCTCTCTGAAACCGCACAACCATAAACTAGGCTTAAGGATTCACCCAGGTCATTCAGAGCCTGGGGTGCAGGCATTTTCTAAATATCAACAAGCACTCAAACACTCACGGGGCGAAGCTCTCTAAAAGCTTTAGAGCATAGAGACAGATTGCTCTACTTTAATCGTTTAGGCTGCTATCTAGTTTCCACCACACTCTCTTTGGCTTTTTGATGTTTGAATAAAACTACGTGAAGCCGAAAGGCCTTTTTGCTGGCAAAGGACAAAAGTTAGCCCTCTGCATCCTAAAATAAAAAATAACTGTGATACATGAAACGTTCTGAGAAGAGAAGCAAGGGCACAGCAGCAACAGCATTGGCATTCATTCATAAGAGCGTTTCACGCCAAACGAGCTTTCACACAAATGTGTCGACATACAGCAGACCTCAATGGGTAGACATCAAAGACATAATAATATGTAAATTCAAACTCCAACACATCCGATACATTCCAAATGATTGGCAGATTGCTTTGCTAGTGAGTGTGGGGATTAACTATTTGTGGTCCGTTCATTTGTTGAAATATTGTGGGATTTCGCCTGCTCTGAAATGAAGATGCCCAGTACAACCCTTTGGACGATCCAGAACCCCTGCTTTCTCTTCCCACACAGCCCGAAGACGTCATTGTTCTTCTTCTCAAAGTAACCACAAGATAACTGAAAATAACCTGCTCTTTGCTTTCTCCCCTCAGCGGACAACTTGATCCTGCACTATGATGCCAGATTACACAGATTAAAATTAGCAAAATGGTCTTATTCAATTTCTTGTCCAGAATTAGAGAGCACCTATACACTTCATGTTTGATTTGGTTAGCTTAGCTTAGCGTATACACTGGATGCAAATGGAAAAGACTAGCCTGTTAGCTTGAAACAGAGAGGCCAAGCACCACAGAGGTTTGTAGAGAGAATCCAGCCGAAGTGTTGCCATGTATTTTTAATGATAACTGCTAAATTGCAAGGGTTTTCACATCTAAAGTGCTGCAGTGGTCAGAAATGCCAAAAAATGCATTATATAATGAGCTACAGGAGATAGAGGAAAAGAGTCTGTATGATGTAATGTTCACACCAGCTACAGAAAATAAAGTTGTGGAGTATCACGGTTTCTAGTCAGGAACAGGAGGGTTGATCTGTGATGGGCAACTTCTGTCAAAGCATTCTGAGCTCAAAATATATATCACAAAATGTTTAATTTTCAGTGATTTTCTGTGGCACATTGTGAATGTTACTTGATGAAATTGCACTTCCTTTCTTGTTTCTTGTTCTTCTGAGTTTGTATCCTTATGGTTGAATGCACTTATTGTAAGTCGCTTTGGATAAAAGCGTCAGCTAAATGACATGTAATGTAATGTAATGTTATGATTAACTGTTTCTTTAAACTGAATGTTGCCCATTCACTGGCCTCCACGGAGGAGGAGGCGAAAAAAAACAGCCTGGGGGGAATTTTTACACAGGACCCGATAACTCGACGCCACTGCACTAAAATCCAAAACAGGGACTTGGTGTCTTCATATTTAAACTTCACCATGCAGTGGCCATAGTTGACACATTCACACTAAGGTGTGGAATTCTCACTTCTTTGTGAAAACATTTGCATTTACATTTCAATTCTTTGGCCTAACCAGACCCTCTCAAGCTTCCAGCCAGTGTTGTGCTGAGTGAACGTGTCCTGTGTGATACCATAAGGGAGGATGCCAGATATTGACTATTTGGTAGTTCTTTAAATATCAATATGTGACACAAGCAAGGACAGAGCCGGCACAGGAAAGCAGCAGAAGCGGCTGGAACGCACAGCACAGCAGGTCTGACAGTTAATGGCGTCCTTCTGCCGGGACGGACCTTGTGTCTGGACCGTGGCGTGTGGGTGGCGGTTGAGGAGAGCCGTAGGAGCCGAGTGGAGTCAGGTGTTGGTAAGTGTGAGGGGGTGAAGTGCAGCCATAATCCTTAATGCTGTGGTTTGTCTCTGGTTACAGACAGAGACTTGGCTCAAGACTCTGAAATCATTTTAGATCACACCAGCTCTCGTTTTAAAACCACAATGCACATCCTCGTTTCAGGCAACTCTCCGCAGTGGAACGGGTTTGTGTTTGTAACCAACAGGGTGCTGTTGATTGTGCGGCTGCGGTGAACCGGTGATCACATTATGCTTCCACAGCACATGAGCCGTTTCTTCTGTGCATGTAGTCTTTAAACAAGGCTTCTTCAATCCCAGTGTACAAATGGACCTAGTGACCATACACGTGTACATGTTGCCGGTGCGTTCATGGGCACACCGGTGCATCAGGGTGTCACTTGTGTGACAACAACTACACACACAAGTTTGTGCTTTTTGCTTTTTCTTGATGCTAACTTCTAGGCTAAATATGAACACTGAGAGCGCTAGTTGGGATCTCTGTGCAATTTCCAAGCTGTGACAAAGAGAAACAGGTAGCATAAATGTTGCCTGTGTGACGGGTCTGGGCTTTAGTGGCTACGGTGCATGCCGGAGCAGCAGCTGCAGCTACTGAGCATGCTCTCTTGAGACTGTAACTGAAGTGTGTCTCACGCAGGGGGCGCGGGCACAGGTACGGCCCCCGCCGCCGCTGGGGCAGTCGTCCCCGACCCAGACGCCGGCTTTGGCACCGGGACGGGCGAGGACGGCAGTATTTGTTGCAAGCGGCGTTTGGGCTGCAAGGCCTTCAGAGGGTTGAATCTGAGGAAAAGACGAGAGAGAGGAGGACACCACAGCGACAGATTGAACTGTCTGTAGCTAAATAGCATATGAATGTGCATTAATGTTGTATACATTAGGAAGAAAACATACATTCTTTACACAACTTTAGTGCAGAATTTCCATTGCAAAGTGAAAAATAATTGGACTGAGGCTTAATCGATATGGAGAAAGCTATCAGGGGTCCCCACAGACAACGAAACCCTTCGCTCCATGCCTTGTGGTTTTAAACTGTGCACAATAAAACGGGAGGTCCAGCAGCTGCAGGAGAAAACATCAACATGCTGAGAAACACCAGGTTGTAGTGAACTGGCTTTTCACTTCAGTGTGAAAGAGGTGGCTGGTGACACCAAATGTGTTCAATGATGCCACAGCCCCCCAATCAGGAGGGCTACAGGAGGAAGAGCTACATATAAAAAGGACACATTGGAATAAAATGCAGACTGATCCATGACCGCAACAGAGAGAGGAAAAAAGAGAAAATGAATCTTTGGACATGCTATACTGTGACTTATGACTTTTCTTTTGATATATTATACTGATATACTATAGGAAAGTTTTTAACAAGACAATATTATGACTATTTTCAACATATCCCACCATGGTATTTCTTTTACTTTTTCTGTCATACAACACATTTTGATTAACAATTTTTATACACTATAACATGATTTTATTATTAATTAATCCACCATACTAAACTATGACTTTATTTGGACATACAAATTATATCATTGGCATATCGTACTCTGACTTGTTCTTTTTCTGCATACTATACAGATTTTTTAGAAAGGTTTTTTTTATGTAATACGACTAATCTAAGTTTATTTTACATATGAAACCGAGTCTTTTCATAGGTTGACTTTGTCCAACCTCCAAACTTTTTTCATTGCCTTTTTCAACATACTATGATATAATTGTCTTATGAATTTTTACAAAATACCATACCATGATTATATAATGGATATTTTGATGATTTTTCACTTGATACTATTTTTGACTTCATGACTCATTGGTGGAGCATAGTATACTATGACTTTTTTATGACACACTGAACAATTTTGACTGACTTTAAACATTTTTTTCAACCTGCGACACCATAATTATAGTCATAGTATACCGTGAATTTTTTCTATATACTATAAATGTTTATGATTTGTTTAAACTTATAATGACTTTTTCTGACAGTCTTTGATCGGCTATTTTTGACCCCCTATATTGTACAACTGTTATTAATTTATCAACATCACACGTATTACTTTTTTCTCATATTTTATTGGTGTATTATACTAAGAATATTTGGATAACTGGATAAGTAGTAATGAGTTGTTTTAAAGGTCTTAAAACAGCAGGTCCAAATGGGGAAAAGCTGAACTCAGGAAGTGATTAGTTCAGAAAAAAATATCCCCCACACACACATCCAAACACAGTATGAGAAGCTTGAACAACACAGGACCGGCTCCTCTCACGCTGCAATATGCAATGATTGAACCTACACTGGCATGACAAAACAAGCAGCAGGTCTTCATTGGCCACCTACCGGCGAGAGCCCAACGCAGACCTCCGATTGGCTGGAGCAGGTGCAGACATGGGGCCAGACAATCTTTAGCGTCCTCTGTCCACACTGTGTCTCTCTGTCCTTCAGTACCACACTGAGAGCCTGGAGGAAAACACAGATACAAGCAGTGAGTGCACACACACACACACACACACACACACACACACACACACACACACACACACACACACACACACACACACACACACACACACACACACACATACACACGGGCCATAGGGGATGCGTTTTGCTGACTGCCTCTTAGTGGCTCTGGATGCCTCAGTAGCATGCAGCTCGGTTCTGCTGACTTAAGCTGACACTTATTTGGCAGAGGCGGGACATCAGGATTCAGCAGCCAATCACTTGTCAGCCATGTGGGACCCCAAACCATCGTCAATGCTCATCTGTCTCATCTCAGGCCGAATAGCAGTGACAGTGGCAGAACACATGAGTACTTTTGAAAGGGGTCATGCTAAATTTCTTCATGTGTGTGACCGTATGTGAGAGTACACACACACACACACACACACACACACACACACACACACACACAAACCCAACACACACACACTGGCTGAATGCTAGGAGACATAAACATTGAATCATTGTCAACAAAGCTCACCCTGTCATTGTGTTGCTGAAAAGGCCAAATGGAAATGTGTTGCGGTATTGGCCGTGTGTGCAAGATAAAGAGGCACATTGAGAGAGAGAGACAGATGGAAGAGAGAAGGATCATCTGCATCAATAATAAATCACACGGAACTCAATGATGTGTGTGTGTGTGTGTGTGTGTGTGTGTGTGTGTGTGTGTGTGTGTGTGTGTGAATGCTAGGCACCTGCTGTAAGTCACCTTCCTGCTGTGACTCCACATGCTGGGTTGTTTCAGTGCCAACCATGACTGACAAAAAAAACTCCCCTGTCCCCCCCAGCCAATGAACGAGCAAAGGTGAATTTAATGGAACTAAAGTCTGATAGTCCCATGTTTCTGCTGGATGGCTTTATAAGATACCATTGATTAGAATTCTGTTCATAGTATAAGGCTACTTTTTGTATACCATTATGGATGTGTTGGATCCTGATGTACGGTGGAGTTTAAATTTATGAATGGCCTCATGTTAGGCCATAGTTTGTACTTAACCAGCAAGCGGGCTTTTTGCCTCTAATATGCATTGGGAAACAAGCACATCAACGAAAGATCAGACAGGTATGAGTGCTACACATCCTGGATATTCTAAATCCAGAGCAAACAGGTCTAATGCCACCAAATCCTGTCCAATTAATATCCTTTACGTTCTATCAGTTATCAATCGGCGTAAACGGTCTGTAATGGGGTTATGTAGGTCAATTAGGTCAATACTGAATCAAAGACGAGATAAATCGAGGGAGCAGGGAACATTTTATCGGGTCAATCCTCCAGCCATTATTCAGGGAGTTATTATTCAAGAGTTTGATGACAATAAAAAAACAAATGAAAACTTTAAAACTTAACAGCTGTACTATTGAATTCCATCCCCATCAAAGAATTGTACTGTACACAGTGGGACTTGTGCCCACATGTTCTCTCTAGCTGCTGCCATAACCGATGAAACCACATCCAGAGCACATCATACAGGATTTATGTAGTCAGGCCTGTTATGTGAGAGATGAGATGTGTGATAGAGGAGAAGTGAGAGATGTGATAGATGAGATGTGAGAGATAAGATGTATGAGAGATGTGATAGATGAGATGTGAGCGAGATGCGATAGATGATATGTGAGAGATGCGATGTGTGAGAGATGTGATAGATGAGATGTGAGAGAGATGTGATAGATGAGATGGGAGAGAGATGTGATAGATGAGATGGAGAGAGATGTGATAGATGAGATGTGAGAGATGTGAGATGAGATGTGATAGATGAGATGTGAGAGAGATGTGATAGATGAGATGGAGAGAGATGTGATAGATGAGATGTGAGAGATGTGATAGATGACATGTGAGAGATGAGATGTGTGAGAGATGTGATAGATTAGATGTGAGAGAGATATCATAGATGAGATGGAGAGAGATGTGATAGATGAGATGTGAGAGATGTGATGTGTGAGAGATGTGATAGATGAGATGTGAGAGATGAGATGTGTGAGAGATGAAATGAACAGATAGATGTACGCGAAAAGAGATACATGGGGAAAACAGGGTTAATTATCTTTTCAGAATCATTGTATGTATACTGGAGGATGTTTAAATTATCTATACATTGTAGGTAGTGGCATCCAACCTGTGTTCCATTATTGTGCAGACGGTAGCTAGTTCAACTGGAACTGCAAGCTCATATAAATTCTATTCCCATGTTGCAAACTGCATAAATTAAGAATGTTCATTTGAGCTAAATAAATACACAGTGGGCTGAACCAAGCACTACAGATCTCCAAGGCAGAGGGTCTATGTGACGAGGTGATGATGACTCATTCTCTCATCTGGACGTCCTGCACAAATCAGCAGCTTATGTTACATTACTTTGCGCCATACTGCTATAAATACCCACAAATCTGCAAACACAAGATGAGGGAAATAGTAGAATTCTGAAAAAGACTTTTACAGTTAGAAACGATGTTGTTTACTTTGGTAAAATATATGTTTTGTGAGCAGTTCAAGTGAAATTAGATCATTAAAACAAATGGGAAAGCTTTCATTTCTCACATCGAGGTCAGTAAGTAAAAATGTTTCCTTCAAGATATTTTACCCCTATATTAATGCTGGTGATTTGAAGATAAATCAGATGCATATTCAAGCACACGTCCTATGACAGCAATACCAGGACCCTGAAGCAGCTAAATGGAATTCAGCCATCATTCATTTTTACGTATGTTCAACAGACCACTGTCGCTTCGTGCTGATGCATTCTGATGGTTCGGCTGGTCACATCGGCACAAAGAAAACGGGGAGAAGACAAGAAGAAACGTCAGGGAGAGCGAAAGAGGCAGGAACCCTCTGTCAGGACAGAAGTGCAATAGATGCCATTTGAAAAGATTGAACAATGTAAAATATTTACAAATCCAATGCAATGCATGAGAACCGCTGCTAATTATACAATTTAACGATTCTCTTAACAGTATGAAATTAAGTTTTACTGACAATTGTTTTACGGCAATATTTAGTAAAATATGAAAAAAGGACATCTGCAGTTACTTTTCTAGTCCCAATTACGGTGGCCCTGAAGTTCAAAACACAAAGGATTCTGAAAGCTGAGAAATGGCGCTTTCTAGATATTATGAAAATCAATAAATCAGTGGCGGGACTGAGAGCCTGTGATGAGGGGGGAAGTGAGTGCAGCAGGAGGTCTGATTCCTTGGCGTGAGGAAGTGGATGTGTGGCGGGAGTGCGTGACAAGAGACCGAAATGCGTGACTGTTACGCTCAATGCGTGACACTTGCCCTGTAATCATTTCCCGTTAAAAGACACACAGTCTGTCTGTCCAATCAGAAGGGTTCGTCCTCTACTATAAGGCCCCACCCTTTCCGTAAGAAGTTCATTTTGTTGTGTTTTCCTATTTGCCGTTGCGTTTTGCACCAATAGACTGTAACAAAGTAAAAGGATAACATTTATAATTTGTGATGGCGTACAGTGACTTCAGAACCATTTAAATGATTTTTGGGATGGATGGAGCCTTGTAGACCTGCAACTATAATCAAACAAATGGATCTGTATCCGCCAATATTGATTATCAATGATCATCAATCAGTATCGCCGGCACAAACTTGATCGTAGAATCTTAAACTTTATGTTTCTGTAGTCACTGAAGTGAAGAACTTAAATATACACGTTGAATGTAGCTATAGCCTACACAGGCGGTCCTGTTTCAAAACAGGGGGAAGGAATCCTGCAGTTACCCTCCTACTGCCGTCGATGCAGACTAGCTTAGCTAAGATCCAGCAGAGCACAGCAGTAAAACTACCGCACAGCTTACGTCAATCAACATCAAAAACATGACTCAAGCTTGAACTTTAATTATTGGTCCGGATTTTGTTGTTAATTTGTTTGACAATTAGGCCAGCAAAGGGATCATTTCTCAGATTTCTCACACCATGCTCTCAATGGATTTGAACACCATTTAGCCGTCATTTGGCTGCGCATGTGAGAAAAATGCACAAGGCTTTTCTTAAATCAGGTCAAGTGCTCAAAATATCTGTCATTAGTGGGCCAAGCAGCATCAATTAAAAACATGCCAGGGTGCTGTGGTGTGATCATGTGACCTAAGTGATCATGCTAATCGTCTGTGGGAAGTAGTTTTCTAAGAGGCCCGATAAGCAAAGAACATCGGGAAGCCCTGAAAATCAATATTTACAATCCCGTTACTATGAGGAACGAGATCCATCAGGCTCCATTCAGGAGGATGCTGCAATGACGGACTATGATATTAGAGAATCTATTTTATTTTGTTAAAAATAGTATAACATCCTGTCTGTGATGTGGGGAACATCTTAGCCAACAGGTGCTTGTCCATCAGACAGAAACATAGATAATGAATGTTCAATGTAGTTTAGCTTTGCTTTGATCTCAACCGACTACTGAGAAAACATCTGTCTCCCAGCTGTTGTTTGTTGCTGGTTAACAATGGATCACACGACTCGTTCTTTGCGAAAGGATTTGCTCATAGCGACAAACTCTTACAGAATCCTCCCAAGACCACAGAGCCTTTTAACTGTCAGCTCATGCTTTTAATAGGCAGCCTGAAGCCCTCCATCCGGTAGCTACACTGCTTGTCCTTCAGGGTTGTCCAGATGTCACCAGAGGCGAGAGGCAGGGAACACTCTGAGAACGTCCAGTCAGTCACAGGGCTGACACACACACACACACCCTTTTCACACCACATAGTACTAATGTTTTCACCAGCAAAACAGGGTTAGTAACGAAGACAAAATAATAAGTTGTATTTTTGGTGCAGTGAGAAAGGGGCTTTAGAGACAGACAACTATTCACATTCACACGTTTTTGG